AGAGCAAAAATAAACAATGGCAAAAAGCCCTCTGAGAAAATGGAGAGATGGATTTTCGAATACAGATTTGAGTGCTATGCAATTTGGATTCTTTATTTCGCTGAAATACTTGTGTGTCAAAATGAAATATTTTTGTGCAATGTGCAAGACAAACCTGATTTGCCATAAAATTAAATTTCGCGCCCATTTGGCGGTGACCAGTGGAGCGGCCCAGCCCAAAGATTTGTGCAAATGCTTTCGGCCACAAACGAAATCAATTTTTGCTTCTGCGGCCCCTGCGTTATGGCCAAATAAATCAATTTCTGCCAAGATCTGCTGAGACACGTTGCGCGATCATTTGACATTCTGAAGTCGGACAAGTGTGAAAGGAAATGCCTACAAATCTGTGTGTAAGAACTTTCGACAAATTCGCTGCACTTAAATTATTGATTGCAATAACTGACAAGTGTGTAGGCAATATATTTCAACAGAAATACATCAGCCTTAGAGCTGCGAATTATTTACGTCAACAAGTCACGCCCCACGGCAGCGAACTTGAACTGAAAACAGTTAGGGGCATTGATTTTTAACGAAACGAAACTAGCTAATTATAGTTTTGGATTTATAGTTAAAAATACAAATTTATAACAGCGCCATATAATATATATATTTTTTCTATTATAATATTTCTGTAAGAACCCTTGATATATCTTTAAATATTTTTATCTTTAAATTTTATATTTTGTCCCATTTATATCTTAATTTGTTAACGGACTCATAAATGCACGATTTAAGTCCATAAAACTCCTTAAAAAATACATTTCCTGTATACAACCAAATAAATGAACCAATTTCTCTGGAGTTTCCAACACAATGGAAAATTTTGTTGTTAGATTTTCCACTGCTGCTAACCATTCAATAAATAAATGCGGTTTATTACATGAAAAAAGTAAACACATTGTTGGGTATTTCTCTTAAATAAGGAAAACCTTCCTCTACTGGAAACTTTTCAATTGAGAAAACTGCAGTCTGATAAATAATCTCTCTCAGTGCCATTAAGAAAAAGTTTGAACATTTGTGATGTTATCTTCATTCCATTCAATTTAATGCTTTCCTACAGCAATTTAAAAACACTTTCTCACAATATTTTTCAACTGCAGAGACACTCTTTCGATTAAGTATAATTACGCTTTACGAATTGTTTTTGTTGTATGTACATATTTTTGATTTCATGGTGGCAGGGTAAAAATAAATCCCCTGAGAATTTTTTTTAATAAATCCCTCTAGTTTCTTTTATCTGTTATAGTATGGCTTTTCGTGTTTTTCTTTGTGTTTGTTTTTATTTTGATGCGCTTTACTCTAGTTCCCCGTCATTACACATTTTTATTATACATTTTGTTGTGTCTGTTCTTTATTACACAGAGAGAAATGTTGGTTTTATAATGGAATTTAAAAGATTTGAAAAATTAACTTGGAATTAAAATTACTGGAAAGTGTAAGAATTAGTTTTAATGTGACTTAAACTTAAATCTAATAATAATATATTATCAGTTTAATAGTGAAAGTGATTGATAAGTTTTAAATTTCTTTAAAATATTATAGTTTATAAAGATAACAGGGTTTAAACAGTAAGGGTAAAACCTTTTCATGCCTCAAAATCTGATTAAACATTTTCTTTCGTTCTCTTTTCTTTGTGTAGGGTTGGGAATTTGGCTGCTATTGCTTTGATTATTGTTGTTGTTGTTTGATTAGGCGTCTAGGTTGACACATAGGGGGCACACACACACACCTCACACACACACACAGAAAGACGGACACGTAGACAGACACATCGGCCGACTGACGGAAAGGCCCTCATAGATAGACACCCATACTCACACCGAGCACGAGAGACGAACACCGGGCACATGTGTTGGAAATTTAACACAAATGTGCAAATTTAATTAAATTCAAACGAGAAATAAATATAAATACGCTCCGTTGGCATATATGTGTGTATAGGTATATACGGATAATACTATATAGCGGCGGAGATCTTGTGAAAATAAGAAACTATGTGCTGTGACCTAAGGAAAAGCAACAATGTGCCACACACGCAACGCACACACTTGCAACGGCTGCTGCACTTGTGTGGGTAAATAAAAACGCAATTTTCACAAATTTTTTTAAACTTGACAAAGTCACAGAGGAAATGGTGCGAAACATACAAAAATATGTTCATACAAACATAAACACTAGGCAGGCAAAGTGAAAAACCCCAGGGTTTATTTTGTTATACCCTTGCAGGGTATTATAATTTCAGTCAGAAGTTTGCAACGCAGTGAAGGAGACGTTTCCGACCCTATAAAGTATATATATTCTTGATCAGCATCAACAGCCGAGTCGATCTAGCCATGTCCGTCTGTCCGTCTGTCCGTCTGTCCGTCTGTCCGTTTCTACGCAAACTAGTCCCTCAGTTTTAAAGCTATCTCAATGAAACTTTGCATATAGTCTTCTATATGCTCTCACTGCTATATATGTCGGAACGGGCCGGATCGGACGACTATATCATATAGCTGCCATACAAATGTTCGATATATTTTTAGAAAAATAATTATAACTTTGCTGTTTTTTAACATTTTGCACCATTTTTTAGATATGGCCATTTTATATTACTTCGGAATTTTGGTAAAATTTTTATGAAAATCGGACGACTATATCATATAGCTGCCATAGGAACGCTCGGGAAATTAATAGAAAAAAAATTATAGATTCGTTGTTTTTCAACGTATTTTCATCTACTCCGGGATATAAGCTTATTTTATTATTCTAGAATTTTGGTATAAATTTAAAAAAAATCGGACAACTATATCATATAGCTGCCATATAAACGATCGGTAGATGTAGGGAAAATGTAAAGCTGGAAATGCAAAACTGTAACTGTCAAACTGTAAACATAATAAGTATAGGTAAAATGTAATGAAATAATATCTGCAAGGGTATACAAACTTCGGCGTGCCGAAGTTAGCTTCCTTTCTTGTTATATTTAAAATAACACCAGGAATAAATTGTAACTTAATTTATTCTATCAATTAATAATTTAAAAACCATTCCTTTTGGGAGATTAATTAAGTTTTGTTAGCTAGTGTTAACATCCGTTGAAAATGTTGAATTTTTAAATGCTTTAAATTAGCCAAGCCCTCGAACCGAATATAGGATATTCTCAGACTTGAATTGATTCAAAAATTGTAAGGCAATGAGGCGAGAGATATAAGATATTTTATAAATATTCCTGCAATCCACTTGCTAATGACTCACTGAATATATAGAAATATTTAATTTTTAATAAATGTTAGCCTGCAGAATGTTGTGACAACTCAAACACTTTATTGCATTTAAGACTGGTTAATTTTGGCCCTAATTTTATACCGCCATTCGATTAGAAAAGATAAAACAAATTTGGCAGAAATTTAAAATACAATTTGTCTCATTGGACTTAGTGCCGGCTTCAATAAAGTATTTTATCGGCGCTATCGCCATTTTTTGATAATGTCGAGAACCCCGAAAATAATGCCGCCCCGGTCGCTTCTTCAATTCGTTATCGAAGGTAACACAGCATATGCCAAGTGGCTTTGATTTTGGTTTTATTTTTACTTTTTCATATGTTTCATATTTATATACAAAGCATGGCATTTTTTATAGAATCTTAACTCGGTTCTTGGCCATAAAGATAAAATAGAAACTGGAAAAAAAAAATAAGCAACACTGAGTGGGGGCGTTAATTTATTAATGCAGAGCCGTGAGCCAAAACAAAATCTGCGAGAACACTTTTATAACTTGATTTATTTAGAGCCAAGCGAATTGGATGAGTTGGTGTTGTTAAGTGTGTGGTTAAGATTTAAAAATAAATCGAAATTATGAAACATAAACAGAAGGACATTGGCTAAGGTCATTGTTGATACTATTATGCGGCTCTTTAATTAAATTAATATATTATTCAGTTCTGGAAACTCTAAAAAAAAATAACATTCATTCTAGCATTCACTTTTAATTACGAATTCTTTGAATCAATCCATCGACCTAGATCTCAAATTATTGGACACAAAATGTATTAAAAGAGATGCAACTAAAAATACTAATAATGCCAAAGTCAACAGACACACACTCACACGTTTCAGATAATAAATAAATGTATAGGAAAATATATTCACTTATGTATATGTTTTTGTTATTTTTTTGTTTTTTGTATCACTTCTTTCATCATACATTCACACATAGGCGATGATCAACTCGTTCGGCCGTTGAAAAAAAAAATTGCAAATAAAAAATACAACAAAAAAATAGCAACAATAACAACCAGAACTGACGCAGAAATTTGCCACCAGCTGCCAAGTTGAAAGCAGCATTAAATTATATTTGCCATTTCATACAATATACATTCAAATTGGAGATACTTGCTGGTGTTTTGCCTTTGCGGCAAGTGGCATTATTTAATTAACAAACGGCTAGCCGAAATTGAAATGGAAATAAATATTTTATAAAAACCGAAATCAGATACGATTAGCGCTATCAAAGAGAGCGCGAGAGAGGTCGTTGAATATACTTTTCGATCCATCGCTACCCATTCAGATTCGTTAGATCGCGTTCTCGCACCGTATTTATGTATTTTTGTGTTTTCTATTTATTTTGTTTCTTTTTTTTTTTGTATTTTTAGCTAATTTCAGTCGCTATTGAGCTTGGCAATTAGTTACACTTGATTATAGGAAAGCAGATCGTGCCGGTCGGTCCCCCAAGTTCAATGTTTATATTCTGTTGTTCCACTTTGAATTGATTTCGAGGTTTGCAAAAGAGGGAAATCACTTGTGGGATGTCATAAAGAAGTTGAGTGGTGTTCCAACTTAAAAGCTTATCATTGAGATTTGTATTAAATTTTTTTGAGGGGTTCTTTTTTTAATTGATATATTGTTACGAATCTAACAGTTAAATCAGTTCAATGATTTCTTCATTATTTATTATACGGTTCGTTGGAAGTGAAACTTTACCTAATGGTTAGTTGTGACTCCTTCGCCTGTGTTTACTTCCAAATCATTTATATCAATGAATAATATTCATTAAAGACACATTGCCTAATGGCACATGTTATTTAAAAAATGCACATCAACACTGCCACATACACGCACACACACACTGGCGCTTCAAAAAAGCAAGGAAACGCGCGAAAATCGCGTCCAACGAGCAAACAACCGCCTGTGAACCGTCGGAAAACCGCCAGTGAACCGCACCCGTGCACGTTCCAATCAGAACTGAGACTGAACAACCAAAAGTCCAACAGGCTGAGGGCCACTAACCCACACAGACGCACACACTGCACAGTGGTTCGTTGTTCAAAAACATAGTTCCAAAAATTCTGATTTCAATTTTTATCATCTGCGAATACATCTAATGCAAGCAAACCATTTTCTTTTTTTGTTATTTTATTTTTAAATTATTAATTTGAGCTATACTTATACATTATATTTAAAAATATATAAAGTTATACCTTTATTTATGATAGGAAATGGTTGGCAAAATGAATCTAATTTGAACTTCATGTGTTAAAATTGCATATTTATTTATTTAATTTGTTAGGCTTAAATAAATAAAATATATGATTTTTATAGATTTGTTTAATTTTATATGTTAATATATGAAGTTTACTTTCACGCTATTATTATGAAAAAATCCTGTTTGCAGATTATTCTAAAATAAGTAAAGAACATTTTATAATATTTAAAATATTGTACTTCTTATAAGAAACCACTGTGCACCACAGCAACATGTTGCCGACCTTGCTGAGTGAGCGGCAACAAATTATTCTCGAGAGAGTAAGTCAAGAGAGTGGGAGAACGATTGTTGCTCTGTTTGGGTTTTATGTTTTCATTTCGTATAAAAAAAACAACAACAATAAGAAGTGCCGGCACTGATCAATGAACTAAAAGCGATGGAAATATAATGTTCTATATTTTAAATATCTGAACGAATTTTGTTGAACAAAAGATACAAGAATAGTGTTTATTTTCATATCCCAACAAAGCTCGAACGGATGAAATGCAGTTATGAGTAACTAAATAATTTTAAAAGAAAACTATAAGTAATGTTAAGGCTTGTGGAAATATTTTTTTAAATATATAAAGACGAAAACATAAATCAAATTTTTATTTCCAAAGAATTTAAAAATATTTATATTATCTTGATATTTTACAGTCATACTACTTTATTTGTTGTTTAATTGATGATGTTTTCTTTGTTTTAACTATTTGGCAATATTATAAAGAATTTAACGTTGTTAGCTGAGTTTTAAAATAAATGTCCATGCTCATTTACTATTATTACTTTTTGTTCCCAGGGTTTGGTTTCAAGTACCTTGTTTTAATGAGCTTAAAGTAAAAACTAATCAATAAATCAATCATTATAAAATCTGACAAAAAGCAATCATTAAGACAATAAAAGCATATTTTTTGTTTTAATTCATTGAATCTAATCTTTTCAAGTATGTCATTGAAAGTGCAATCCAATTTTCTTCTTAATATTCTGCTGCCTTAGTAGCCAACGCCGTTATCAAGCTTATCTAAGTTTTAATCTAAAACGTTAACTACTTATAACAGTTACCTAATGATTGAAAGATAATTGAATGGATCATAAATATATTAGTGTTCAGTTGAGTGCAGTGTAATAAAAGAGAATAAATATAAAGTTTGTGGAAGAGTTACCATTAGGATAAATATTGTTTTAGCAATTAACAAATTCAGTTAGTTCAGTTCGATTTAGTTTGTAGAACTTTGATGCACACCCCTTGCTATTGCTACCAGCTCCACTTCAACCTCAATTTCCTGAAATTAAATTACTTACTAGCAGCTCAGTTCTTTCCTGTTCCTGGTAATTTCAGCTTAGCAGGATATTGTCAGCACTCGTTTTCAACTGGTCCTCGTCCCTTGCCTGACACGAGTGTGGGAAAATGTTTGAACTGCTCTGTTGACACACAAACACCTGCTCAAAGTGGGTACTTTGGTTGCAGTGTGTTTGCTGACTTGTGCAATTTCCGTCGGACAACACGGGGCGTATACGTAATGGACTTTGACAGAGCTTGGGCAACAGTTGTCCACAAATTTAGCCATTTTATTGAAAGTTTTATGTGTGAAGCCTAGATGCTTTATCGATTTTGTAGCTTATAGAAATTATCAGGCCTTTATTATGTAAATTGATATGCGTTATTTTAATTATTTTCAATCCAATTACATACATACAAAGCTGGCAATGGTGAAATGAAATGCCTAGGGTCTGTTATATATTTTTTAATTCTCTTGAATATATTGTTTTAAATATATTAATTAAATCAACTCGATTGTTACTGAGGCTTAATTTACGTTTCTCCAATTAAAAATCATTTGCAATCCAATAAGGTTTTAATTACAGAAAATACACCAAAAGTATGTGACACTCACCTCAGGCAGCCTGCATTTTCATGAAGCTCCTACCGAATTTCGGATTTGCATAAATAATAATGAAATTGTCAGCCAGTGAATAAACCAAAATAAAAGCAGCTTTAAGCATCCGCAGCCATTAAAAGGCAATTTGGAATGTGTAAAGCCGCCGACCGGGGTACCCAGGATCAAGGCAAATTAACTAATTGAAGGCTCAAATGGACTTTGCATACATTTGCGGACCGATAAAGGTGTCTCGCCTGCCGATAGATTAAAGATGCTAAAGGTAACGGCCAGCCCCCAAGGTCACGGTGGCCCTCGATGGCAATCCAGGTGGGTGGCATGCATAATACATTCTGAGATCGAAATCAAAACATGTTTACCTTCACACGCCGCCTTGTTAAGTTAGTCCTGGAGCTTCAAGAATGGCCACTTCAGACAGGATGGCGACAGCTAGCCAAGTCAAATGGCTCAATTCCCTCAATAGGAGGCTTGCTCTGAATGGTGGTGGCTATTCGATTTAAATTTAAGATATATCCTAAGATTTTAAATGGATATTTGTTTGAAATTATGTTACTATTTGTTTAACATTTCTAATGTTATAAATTTCAGCTGGCCTGTTGCATGATAGTATTTTTATGGTAATATTTGTCAGTTAATATCCTAGGTAAATGTTAGTTTTACCTTTTCTTTTCAAGGCTCCTCCTTCTCCTTTGGCTCTGTGAAAGTAAACCAAGTAAATGATAATTTAATGAACGGCTATTAAATGTCAGTCAATGCCATTTGCTGGGGGTCACAGCCAATATAGCCACTAACGTTTTTTGCATTCTTAATGAACTTCAATCCCCTTGAGCGTTTTCCTGTGGCAGAAAATCAATTTCAACGCAGGCAAGGCCAGAGATTCTTTAAATTTTTCACATACTTGGGGCAAGAATATATTGCTAGTGGGTCGACGACAGTTGGCCGGGACATAAAGCCTAATTACGAAACGTTCTTTAATTAGTGCGCTCGACTTAATTACAAAACTGCAAACTCAACAAAGGCAACAGCAAAATCTGCAACAAGAACGAACTGGGGGCTGCTGCCCCAGGATCCATGCCCCTTGGTAGACAATTAACTGGCTCTGAAATGTGTATGTATGTGTTTTTTTTTTTTAGGTTTGCGGCAACAGCTTGTTGACATCGTCCTTTAAAACGCCCGAAAGTATGCTTTGTCCCTGGGTATTCGACACATTCACAAGTTGGAGCAGAGCCAGTCCAACGAAGTTTAAATAAGGGTTAAATTGACTGAATTAATGTTACATTTTTGTTGAGAACCCTCGTTAACCATATTAGGCACAGGATACATAAATTATTTAATAAAGCCAGCTTCAAATACAAAGGAAATTAATGCACTGTGGAAACAAATTGATTTTAGGTATATTTTTAAAGATATTTTAAAGACCTCATCTCTAGTCAAACTTTTTAATTATAATTAATTATATTTAAAATTGAAACATTTTAGCTTTATATTAAAGCAGTATCAGCAACAACTCATTCAATTTGACCCTACAATCCCGATTACCCATTATCATCTTTTGTGAAAAAACGGTGGCAAAAAAAACTTGGATTGCTGATAGAAAAAATCAATGTCGAAATGTAAATTAGGGTCTCACCGCAATGCCGTTTGAATAAATATATTCACAAATCATGCAATTTCCTGCCAACTTTGACTGAATCTCCAGCAACAAAAAAAAACACAGGGAAATAATAAATTCAATATAAACGCAAATTATTTTTGCTGTCCAGTAGGGGGCAAAATCATAAAAAAATAAGAAGTAGAGCTTTGGAAAAAGTGTATGCCATTTGTGGCAGTTTGCGTTTGGTTTTTATGTCCTGCCGGCCACGCATAAATCTGACAGCCAACCCCACAGTTTCCTGACGTGTTCGACACTCCCCTTTAAAGCTGCCTTACCTGCGTGTGTGTGTCTGCTTACAGCCATCAAGAGAATCAGCAAAAGGTAATTTCGGTTTTTTCTTTAGGGTTTCATTTTTTCAAATCAAATAAATATTTCTCACTTCTACTTAAACTTCTATTATATCATACCACAACCAAATACATTTTTCTCTCACAAATATTACCATTTCTCAAAGAAAATGTAATAATAAACACAATAAGCTGCCCTATATTACTACCTCTATCTATTTTCCACCCTCGCCACCAGCGAGCGTTAACTGAAATTCATCATACGCCACGTTGCCGCCCCTGGCTGCAAACGAGAAAAAACTTTTGCAACATGTTTACGTGTTCTGACCCGCATACGAAATTAGAGTCTGGCAGAAACCGAAAAGTTCCACAAATCTTTGGTAGATTTAATTATGTTTAAATAGGCTTAACGAAACTTATCTATGGGGCTGTAGGAAACCCAATAAAGGCGGTCATTTATCAAACCTAAAATGAAACTAATTGAATTTTAGGAAAAGGCCACATATTCTTTTATTTCTGTTTAGAAACCAATATAACTAAAATAAGATTAAAATTTTAACAAAGGAAATCTGCTGACAGGTACAAATTTTCAGGATGAATGCTGAGGTCCAAAGCCTATTAGAGAAGGTTGCTTAATGAGTTACGAAGATAGAAAGTAATTTTCTGAACACGAGATTTATTTAGCTTGGTACGGACGGCATTTTATATAGTTCTTGCACGTTATTTAATATTATTTACCTAAGAAGCAACAATAGAAATTGCCTTTCATTTTATTTATTTAAACCAAAATGACATCACTGTTACCACATATGGACAAAATGGCCGCCAGTCGCATTTCCGGCGAGTGTGCATGTGTGCATGGAGGCATGTATATGTGCACTTAGCCTGTTGCTCCTCGTTTCCTTTTTGATTTCATTTCTTCTTTATTATACCCACTTTTCACAGCCATTGTTTTTCCATTCGTTGGATTTAGTTTCTGCAAATTTCATTGAACCTTACTGCCGGATGCAATGGACCATGAAGGAGGAGGCGGACAATTGGCAGCAGCCGGCAAAAAGGCCACAGTGACACCCGATCCGCTGTCGGAATGGAAGTGCGTCGGGTGCGTTGGCTGAATGGCTAGAATCCGACAGGCCGTCTGTCAATCAAAATATCCTCGACGGACAGCGATGGACGTGAATGCTTTATGCAAAACCATTGGCAGGTCACAGAGTTAGAAATTTTATTGGATTCGAGTGAAGAACTCCTGAATCAAATATGAATATAATATTTGTATATTGCGAATTGGAATATCAGTAGTAAACCTTTTTTTTTTCTTGGCTTGAGTTTCCTGTTATACATTGAAGTAACAAAATTATTAAAATGGTATAAAATCAAGCAAGCATTGTTAATACAAAAGTTTACATAAATGAGGACAATGTGCGAACGTAGAATCGTCTGCATTTCAATCAGCATAAGCTGTTTAATTTTGTTCTATTTTATTTTCTTTGTGTGTAAGTATTTGAACTAAAGGAAGTGGATCATCACATATAATATGTACATTTTGCCATATCGCAGCTATGATTTTAAAAATATACATCCAGCTGGTATATGTGCTCTTTGGATTCTTAGCTACGGTTTGCCTGTTGTATGGAGCAAGTAGGGTAAGAATGTTATATTTTCTTTCCAGTAATACTAAAAAAGCCGATCAAATTTATTTCCAGGAAAACCTCAAATATCTCCAAGCTTGTTTTTGGCTTATGCTTATAGCAATTATTTGGGCCATACTAGTATCTCTCAAGCGAATCGTAGAAACAACTGGAAAAAGGAAGGCTTATGTTTATGATGCCATTGTGATAGTTTCCGCAAGTAATCTAATGAAATTTTTTATTAGGTGGGAGTTTTAAGCTAATCAATTTACTTACCTAGTTGCTTTGATCGTATGTGACTGGGTTGTATACAAATTTGCTAAGGAAGTAAATCAGAGATGATAAGAAATGTTCTTGTATCCGTTGGAAAACATTGAAATTACTTGTATTTTCAGGTGAGAGTTTCTTTTACAAGTTTTTCTATATTGACAGAAATTTCTTGTTTCTCTTTTTAGAGCTCTCAACTGAATGTGAGTCATGATACCACCTCTAGAGACCATATGGTTTATTAAGAACCCGACCCAGCCCTAGTTTTATTCAAACAATAAATAAATATTCCCCAAAAAGGCATCAATTTTTTAATTTTGACGAGGATTTAGTTATATCCTATACATATTTCTCATGACATCCTTTTTTCAGGCCTTTTTTAATGACTTTATTGAATCACAATTCGGATAAGGACATCTTGGATCTCTCATTGTTCTTACAGGAAAATAAGGACTCTAATTGTTTTTATCCCAAATAAAAAACAACAAATAATCATTTTGTTTTCCAAAGGTTGCCTTGTTCAGCGTAATAAATATATCTCGGGATATGACAGGCTCAAAGGAGACCCCACCACCTGGATGCCCCGGGCTATCCCCCCCGAAAATAATCGTGTTGTTTTTCTTACATTTCACGATTTTGCTTCTGGCAACCGACGCAATTTCCAAACAAGCAATTTACTTATTCATGCAGCTGTTATTCGCGTTTTTCAAGACAAATGTGCGTTGGAATATTTAATGTGTTTATTATTTTCTGCATTGAGGTAAGCTCCGCGTGTTGAGCAACAAGTTGAGAGAGTGTAGTGCAACAGGCCCAGCAACATGTTGATTGGCTCAAATGTAAACAGAGAACATACCTCTCTCACGGACTTGTACACCTTGCACAAATTGTTAGTATAAGTATGCGCATGACTAATATACCAGCTATACTTCTGTCGCCAAAAATTTATGACGTTTACCCCTTGGCAACGTCAACTGATAATGGTACAAGTGTGAAATGCGTGAATAATCTTCGCCTTTGTGAGCCCCAAAGCAAAGGCAGTTCATAGAATTTATTCCCGAAATAATATAACAAGAAAATTTAAAAAATATATATATTCAAGGAAAACTATTTAAAACAATACTTCTAAAACAAAAACCTAAACACACTTTCTACTTTAAATATCCTTGTTTTTCCCAGTTCTAAACATTTATAATTATTCAAACTGCTAAAATTAATTTAATCTGCCAAATAAAAGTCATAGTCATATAGTTTTCATTTTAAAATATGTATATTTTATTGCTCTTCGGTTGCATTCAATCAGCATTCGCATAACTTTTACACAAAAAATACACAGATATAGTTTATAGTTAGAATAATGTAGACTTCAGTGTTTTCGACGCTTTACAGATATCAAATGCATTATAAAGTATCAGCTTTATTTACGTTCAACAGTTCTTCGAATTGCATGATTAGAGGGATGCTGGATTACGGTGAGGGAATCATCTTTGGGTATTGTTTCCTTTAGTTCCGGGGGACTTGAGCTTACATTTAACATAAACACTGTGACGTTCATTAATTTTAAATACATAGCGAAATGCATACAACTTAAAGTTCATTCCTCCGTTATTTATCTGTTTTGAAAATGTATGTTAAACATAGGCAATGGCATTTAGAGCCAAAACAAACGAATGACTGACTGGCCCAGTGACCTGACTTGGGTTTGACTCTGACTGTCTGACTGATCGACGAACATTGGCGAGAATTGCTCTTCATGTACACACATTCAATTAGCATTGGGTATCAAAAATACTTATGGCCTTTCATTACACTTTAGATACAAAAATAGTTACAATTTAATACCATTAACAAAAATACTTGACGATCGATCAATTGCATATTTTGGAAACTCTTTCTTACACGCTTTTGGAACAAAACTAAACTCATTTACAAGACATGTTTGGGCAAAACAAAAAGCGTATGTATGGGGTGTGTGTGTGTGTGTGCTTCTGGTATCCTCCTTAGGCCCAGTCCTTTTTAATTTCAAAGGTCCAGTCCCACTCTAGGTGTATATGCTTGTCGTCATCCGTAAAGACCGAACTGACCGAGTAGGTGCCGCGGGAGAATGTGCCAGAGGGCGCCTCCTCGGCGGGCGTCAAATAGAATTGAATCTCCTTCTTTGGCGGATAAGAGCCAACCATATGCTTCATTTTATCAACTAAATAAAGAGACGAAGAATATTTATTATATATATTACATTTGGGACTTTCCGCCGGTATCTTACCCACAACTTAAGCCCACGTAAAATAAATTATCCGAAATAAATGTTTGGCATTGGAGATAATAACAAGGACATTAACAAATTACGTTATTCTCAACACATGACTATTGTTAATATCGCAAATGTTAAAAACACAATATAAACAAGACTGCAAAATCCGTATAGGAAGGTAGTGCCATTAAAAAAAGGGCTCCCCATTATGATCTAAGCCCAGAATGCGACTACCCCGTTCAAATGATAACCAAGAACTAAAACTAAAGCTGCACATTTGCATGTCGCAGCTACTGGAAAAGAGAAGTCTCAAAAGTGCTGGCACTGACCTGTACACAAATACCTGATTTGTGGAGGTCTAATTAGGGATTATATCGAGAGGAAGAGTACAATATATCGATAAAAACGACGAAAATCATTCATCGAAATTTTGAATATCAAGAAATATAGAATTTTATGTAATTATTAATTAATTATTATTAATTATTATTTTATTTAATTATTAAAATTATTAATTACTCAATTTTATTTATTAAAAATATGTCATTTAATTTAACTAATTACTTAACTGAATATTCAAAAATAAATTTACTTAGTTTGTCATTTTTTACTATATTGGATAAAAAATCGATTTATTGCAACATTAAAATATCGATATATATGACCATGAATATTTATATTTCAAAAATTAAAAAAAAAAAATATTTTTCTTTACATAAAATGTAGTTTAAAAATTAATTAAAATTGATAACTTTCTTTCAATATTTATATCTATACAAATATTTAAACAAAAACTTAATGGACTACCTACAATATCGAATACTGGAAACACTTACCATTCACCCCCAAGCGAGAAGTCTTTTGCACATACTTAAGGCCATGGACAATTTCACGCTGCACAATAAAATCAATGCGCACCTTGTACTGAACACCTTCTTTGATCACAAAAAGCTGTCAACAATGGGAAGACAAGTTAATGGCTGCGAAATAATTAATATTTGTTTTTAATTACCTGCTTTTTCAGCTGACTTAGGTCACCGGTAAGATCCAATTCCATATCATCTCGACCCTCTACAACGAGTGCCAGTTTCTTCACAATCACCTTACGCGGATCATTGGGTTCTGGCAAATTGAAGATAAATAATCGATGAATATTTAAATTTTTAGTTAAAAAAAAAGGTGTCTTACCAACGACAATCTTTTCGGTCTGAGCTGCACCCAGAAGGGCCTCTTTGTAGCGCCTTAGGCTCTCGTCCTCCTGATCGGCGGCCATTATCTCCTCGATGGTCTTCTCCGGCGGCGCCTGGTAGTTGGCATCGTGCACATCCTCATCGTGATGATCGGGGTGGGGCTTCGTCTCTGTTTCGGCCATAGCTTCTAACCTAGAACTGTCCAAGTGGAATTGTTTATTTATTAATCAATTACATTTAAATGTGAGGCACCGTCTTAATTGCTGTCGATGCTATTGTTTTATATGTTGTCCGAGATTTTGTTTAGTATTTCTCACTCACTTTCAGTCTCTCTTTAAGAAGCATACGGGTCATAGGCATATTTTTAGGAGTGTGAGTAACATGTTGACGATAATGATATTGTTTTATATATGCATGTACATATATACAACAGCCTCCATATAAAAGTATGTGCGTTTGCAAGGCGCTACATTCGATAAACATTTTTAAGATATTCCTGAAAAACTGAAACACACTTAGCCCGTTCTATGAATTTTCCTATATAAACCTTTACGTTTTTAAGGATTTGCTTAAAATATGAATTTCTTTACTGTGTTTTTGTTAAGATTAAGAAATTATATATTTTCATATTAGAATTAGAAGCCTTAACTTATTTTCAGATAGACAACCTTGCAAAACACATCCCCAATTAAATATTACAACCTAAATTGAATAAGATACATCTCATTGTTGATTAGCTTATCATTACCATTAACATCGATTTCTTTTTTGGCAACAGTAACATTTGTGCTGCCACCAAACGTTGGCCACTTCATATGCACGTTCAATAATATTGATTAAATTCCAATTATTAACGCATTGATGAACTGACGGGTTGATTGGCAGTCGAGGCGGAGGGGAAAGGCGACTTGCAGCTGGTCAAAGTGGAAAAAAAAAAAAAGGTCCAACCATATACGGAGCCAATGTGGCAGATAAGGCAAGAGCATATACGATAGACAGAGAGAGGGCGGATATCGGCATTGAATAATATTGAACCGAACGGGCGACAAAAGCCCAAACCCCCCGCTATCGCCCCACCCACCGAAGCCTTTATTGTTATCTTGCTTTGTTTTTCACTATCTAAATACACGTCGGTAGGTCGGCCGGCTGGGTTTGCCTTATGTCCATTTTCAACGAGTGTTGGCCCAATAATAATTCTCAATCCTCCACATTTGGCTTTATATACACAAGCTACACACATGAAATTGAAATGTTATTACTTGACATTAGATTGTTGCGAGATAATTAAAATGTATCTATATAGACGGATTTCAGGCACACGGGTACACAGGAAAAACAAAGATATTTTTGAAATAAATATGGCTAATATTATATTGGTTGCAGGTAAAGTTAAATTTTTAAAAAATATATTAATACCAATTAAAATGGACCTTCTATCTTCTGAAAAATCAAAGTGTAATTGCAATTTAATAAACTAAAAACTTAACTTAACTTAAGATATTGAAAAACATTGAACTTATGTTTCCGTGTATAAGAAAGAATAGCAAAAAATAAAAATAGTGAGAGAAAAAAAAAAGGAAAATAATAAACATTTTCCAGACTAACAACGAACGAAAGTTTGGGCCAATAAATACAATCCGAATGATTAAGGTTGAGTGAGAAAAGGTAATTTCAAGAACAATCTGACCAACTGAAATTTCGAATTCCAAACAAAAATTCGGGGAAGCGATAGAGAGCGAGGAAAGGAGAAGGAGGCGAAGAGAGCCGACCCCCCGCCAGACCTCAGTGTGGGGATAATTTAAGGAAATGAACAAACCATGCCAGTTTTTTTTTTTTTGTCTTGATAAAGAAATGTGCAAGAAGAATGTTAAGACCCCAGACGTATGTATGTATTGTATGTATGAATCACGCACACCAGCTCGCACACACACACACACACACACACACACACACACACACACACACACACTAACGCCCGCACACTGAGGCCGGCACATGAATCGTCACTGTTTGCAAGTACGACTTTTTGGGAGTGGTGCCTTGGCCAGTACAGATAACCAAATATTTGTTAATAATACCAAGTACCAGTACTATGGCTAAGTTCAAGTATTAATTACGCGGCATGCATGGGAACGCAGCACTCGCGCACACACTCTCACAATCCAGAAACGACGCGCACTCACCTTTTTAATGTGCCAAAGTTATATTCAAATCCAATAGTTTCAAACCGTCTTCGGGAGAGTCACGTGGCCTGGTGATTACACAGATTTCGCTTTTTTTTTGTACTTTTTATGGGTTTTGTGGCTGACTAATTTTGAAACAAAGCAAAATACAACGAAAAACACTCGGCGAAACAAGAAAGAAATCTAAGTGTTACCAGCTGCTGCAAGTCAGAGTAAGACCAGGTGTTACGGGAGACGTGAAAAAATACTGACACGCGTTGGTATATTTTTATCACACTTCTCATAGCCGGTCACACTGATCAACAGCTGTTTATTACTTCATCGGTCAGGTTTTATGGAAATTTTGGAAAATGACCCAGTACTTGAATCAACTGAACACCGCCGATAAGCTGGCCACCGAACCTTGGCCTGAAGATGCCACTATCTACCAGGTGAGTTTCTGTCAATCGGAGCCCAGCTCACTTAATAATATGTCTTCCTAAACCTCTGTACAAAAGCCTTATGAGGCGGAGCAGATTCTGCTGCCGGAGAACGCCAGTTGCCTCGCGGTGAAAGCCTATCTTAAGATGTGCAACCTCCCCTTTGGTGTCCGATCCTGCGCAAACGCCGAGCACATGTCCCCGGGTGGAAGGATGACCAAATTGCCATTTATCAGGGCAGGCGCCTTCATATTCGCCGAGTTCGAGCCGATCGTGAACTTTGTGGAACAAAAGGACATGGCCATTGGGAGCTGGCAGGATGAGGACGAGAAGGCCGACATGCGCACCTACGTGTCGTTGGTGGAGAACATCTTCACCATGGCCGAGCTGTACATCAGCTTCAAGAACGAGCGCGTATACAAGGAGGTGACAGCGCCAAGGAACGGAGTCGTCTTTCCGTGGCCCCTTAACCACATGCAGAACTATGGTAAGCGGCGGAACGCCTTGAAGCTGCTTAAGGTCTACCAGTGGGATGATCTGGACATTGAGAGCGTCATCGAGAAGGTGGCCAAGTGCTGTGAGACGCTGGAATATAAGCTCAAGGAGATCCCCGATACTCCCTTCTTCTATGGCGATCAACCCTGCGAGCTGGACGCCATTGCATTTGGCCATCTCTTCAGCATCCTGACCACCAATCTACCCAACATGGCGCTGGCCCAGACTGTGCAGAAATTTAAGCACCTGGTCGAGTTCTGCCGCTTCGTGGATGAGAAATACTTTCAGACCAGGTTCCTACCAGAATAGTTTAAGTGTTACACAGGAACACAAAATTAAACTTTGTGAAATTTCCACGAACCATTTCAAGTTTTCCATGATATTTGGGTGCTCCTGAGTAAAAGTCCCATACAAAATTATTTTCCATCACCTACAGGTTTCGCGGTATACCTAAGAATACAAAAAACCTATGTTTGCCGACATTTTGAATTACGTGGCCTATATAATTGGACTTACCTTTATTATTTTTGGTAGGACCTACTCTCAATACATCACGGCACTACTAAAAAATAGTCCCAATCGTGAACCATTGCCCATGTCTTTGGAATTCGACGCCAAAGTTGAAACTCCCAAAATTTTCAGCATTTCTGTGATGAAAAATCAATTCTGAGAATTAAATCTTATATGGAACTAATTTTAAATATTCATTGAATCTATTGTTCATTGTATTCTTTAATTTCGGTTTAAAGCGTTTTCATGAGGACATTTTATTGGATTTATTAAACGAATAAAACAGCTTTTTTGGTTTTATTATCTACTCCTATTTGCTGTCAAATTTCAAATAAGTCAAGGCAACCTATAAAATAGTAGTAGATATGTTTCTTTTTATATATAATATACATTTTTTCTTTTTGACTAAACATAAATATGTAAGGATTATCGCTGGCTACTAAGCTGTCTTAAAAATGTTATGTTCGGAATACATTTTTATTTAATATAAAACTAAATTTATATTATATATAAAAAGAAACAAATCTACTACTATTTTATAGGTTGCCTTGACTTATTTGAAATTTGACAGCAAATAGTAGTAGATAATAAAACCAAAAAATCGGTTTTATTCGTTTAATAAATCCAATAAAATGTCCTCATGAAAACGCTTTAAACCGAAATTAAAGAATACAATGAGCAATAGATTCAATGAAAATTTAAAATTAGTCCCATAGAAGATTTAATTCTCAGAATTGTTTTTTTATAACAGAAATGTTGAAAATTTTGGGAGTTTCAACTTTGGCGTCGAATTCCAAAGACATGGACAATGGTCCACGATTGGGACTATTTTTTAGTAGTGCCGTGATGTATTGAGAGTAGGTCCTACCAAAAATAATAAAGGTAAGTCCAATTATATAGGCCACGTAATTCAAAATGTCGGCAAACATAGGTTTTTTGTATTCTTAGGTATACCGCGGAACCTGTAGGTGATGGAAAATAATTTTGTATGGGACTTTTACTCAGGAGCACCCAAATATCATGGAAAACTTGAAATGGTTCGTGGAAATTTTTGGCTGTGTACCTGTGTTATTAATTCGATTAAAATGCTGGTACAAGTGCCAAATTATAAATCAAATCATTATAGTTTCAATTGATTTTGTTAGCTTTCTATCTGCTTTGGTTCAGTTATAGCTTGGCTAGTTGTAAAATAGTTTTATTTTAAGCTTTAGTTGGAACACTTTCCTAAAAAGCTTAACCAGCTGAAAATTGTGAGTTGTTGGAGCTTCACTGTATATTGTGTGCCTTCAATTTATGCTTTCTATATACTTTCTACAATTGCGCACCGCTTTAAATTTCCGCCAAAGGCCTTCAAATAGTTCGTTTCAAATAAGGTAAATTTAGTTAACATACCTAAAAACAATCTAACATTTATTTTAAACATTTTACTTTCAGCAAATAATTTGAAAAACCACTTTTCGAGAATGTAAATAAATGTGTTGACTGTTATAAAACATTTGGCATTTCAACAATCGTCTAAAGAAATAACTAAAACCATGGATGGCCCATAAAAGAACAGGATATTCATAAGCCGCTTGTTGCCTTTAAAAGTCAGTAGAATAAATGTGGGGATCCCAATTAATTTTAGACCCAGATCCAGAATTTTATAACGGTGTCAAATGATTTTAATGTGGTATTTAATTTGTCAAACAAATCCATCCAGCTGGTTAGTATTTTTTCAGGAAAATGTAGTTTCCACGCACGGTCATACTGGAGCAACTGTAAACAAACGCAGAGGAAGAAACTTTGTAAAATAAATTCAGATTTTATAGAGTCAATGAAACGGAAGTACTTTGTGTGGACGCCTGAAGCCACAAAACATTTCCTGGAGGCATGGGAGACCAATCGCAAGAACTTTCGAGCGAAACGAAAGAACTTGATCCACAAAGACATGGTTGCAGCCTTGAGTGATTTCGGTGTGCCTGAAAGGGCAATAAGAGCAAAACTGCTGGTTATGAGCAGAAGATATCGGTATAACTCAAGTTACTGCCTCTTGGGGTTTATTAATTAATAATGCTTGCTTGCAGGAATGAAGCCTTGCAGTATTTGAAAACAGGAGTTTATCCAAAGTGGAAGTATTTTCAAAAAATGAGGAACATTTTTGGACACAGTGATGATACTGAAGAAGTTTGTGAGGAAACGGAAAGTGCTGGTAAATTTGACTATATTTTAACGGTATAAACTAGAGAAAAGTGGGTTTGAGTTAATGTATATTAACGTAACAATAACTGTGGAATGGGAAAACAACAGATTCTTCAAATTTAAAGTATATATTTTTGTTTGTAAACTAAACATAAACTGCCCATAAATTTATATAAATTAAATATAAATATTATTGAAAATTCTCTTTTTTTACAGACAAGGTTATCGAGATTTCAGATTACGAATCATCATCAAGCGAATTCGAATTTCCCGAACCACACTCCAAGCTGTTTAAACAAGATACGGATGGAAATGAGGAAGAGGATGACCATAATCATGACCTTTATCGGCGGAATATAGACGTGGAGGAAAAAAAACTGGCTATTCAAAAAGAAATACTCCACGTAATGCAAACAATGGCAAACGATCTTTCCAGTACATATACCACCTTTCTAGATGCTTACAAAACAAGTCCGACGAAACGCTTTTGATAGTTCAAATTAGATGTAGATAAATACAAAAAACCAAATATAAAAACGGGAGGATGCAGACGCCAAATATATGTACATATACGAGCGCCTTTTTAAAATTATTTAGAGTACATAAACAAGTTTCAGCTGAGTAAACGCATCGACAAAAACCCATCAATAACAAACTCAACCACTTTTACATGCATACAAAACCCTTAAATACATTTATAGTTTTATTTATTTATAATATTTAATTTAGATTATTGTTATGAATGCAATGTACACATTTTTGCATGTAGCTCTTCGCCAACATTTGATTTTCGCTACAGCAATCATACAAAAGAATCGGATGATACTCGCAGATACAGATACAGATAAAAGCCTAACGACAATTTGTCCAGTTTTAGCAGCCTAATTCAAGTCAGTTTCCGGCTGGCTGGCTTGGTTCGTTGTCCACCGCTGGAGCAGTCGCGGGCGGTGGTACCGATGGTGTAAAAGCGTGGACCATCTGCGGGGGCAACGGCGTCGGCTGCGTGGGAAATAGTCCGCCCATGGAGGGCTGCACCTGCGGATACGAGGGTACTGTCTGCGCGCCGGCTGGATAGGAGAGAACCGATGGTGCCGACATATAAACTTGCTGCGGGGCCGAGAACATGGGCACCGCCGCTGGCGCTGCCGTGGCCTGTGGAAAGGGCAGCTGGGCGGCGGGTATGCCACCCACAGTTGCGTTGTGTTGTGTGTTGGGATCAAAAACACCGGGTATAAAGATGTTAGCTGGCGGCGGCAAAGGCTGAGCCGGAGCTGGAGCTGGTGCTTGAGCCGGAGTTGGAGCTGGTGCTTGAACCGGAGGTACAGCCACGTCAGTGCCCACAGTTACAGACTGAAAGGGTGTGGCAGCAGGAGGAGCGGGTTCACCAATATTGGCCTGGGTCTCCAGCGCTGCAGTGAGAGCATCAGTGGCTTCATCCGGATTAAAGTAGGTCTTGAATAGGCTTTGAGCCGGTGGCTCAATGGTTGGTGGTCTGATCTCCGCGTTTGTCGAACCAAAAGTGTTGGCCAACGGCGGTATATAAGGCAGCGTTGGTGAAACAACAGCAGACCCAGCTGCAGCGGCAGCCACCGGGGCACCCGTCGAAGGCACTCCGCCCGAGGTCAGCAGGGGAGCAGAAGCCTCCGAGGCAGTGGTGGCTGGGCCGCCGCCAGCTACGGGAGCCGCCTGAACAGGGATTCGGTGCAGGTAACCGAAGCCAATGCCGCAGCCGAGAGCTCCTTCGCCGCCCCAAGCTGTGTTCGGCTTGATCGTTACCTCGCGGCAAGCGTCGTCGTCCAAATTGTAGACGTACATCTTAAGGGGCTGCTGCTCGTGCGTTTCGATCAGCGTAAACAGATCGTCGTTCTCGTGGCGAATGGCATCTGCGCCGATCACATAGTCGCTGTAGGCACGCAGACCGGCCAGCTCGGCCGGAGAATTCGGATGCACCTCGAGAATGTGCCAGACGCTTTCATTGGCGCCCTCGAAGGAACAGAACCGGATGCTGACGCCCAGCAGGCCCTGGCCGCCCCAACTGTTGCTGGGCGTGAGGGTCAGTTCGCGCACCGTCTGCGTCTTGCTGGAGTAAACGGTAAGGCGCACCGGCTTGTCGACGTTCTGGCGCAGCAACTCCTTTAGCATGTCATTGTCCTGGTCCAGACGGGTGCCGGCAATCGCCACGATGAAATCAAAGAAGGCCTCCAAACCGGCCTTCTGTCCGGGCGAGTTGTCCTGGACCTTGAGTACGTGGTATCCTGTGGAAGATTACATTTTACTCTGGCTTACAGCTTTTCTATTTACATTAGGGGGAACAGGTGAGGGTGTTTTCTGATTGGACACAAGGTTTACGTGGTCCGTGGCGAGAAAAAGGCCACTGGAATATTTTACCTTCGGTGCCACCGCCGGGCACATGGATGCTGTGGCTCGAGCCCATCGTTCGCTTGCGTCAACAACCTCTATTCCCAAACCTGTCACGGACTTTTGCGGCGTTGGAATCCGTCTTGAGTTTGCCAGCAAATAAATTCTGTTCTTCGTGGCAATTCTCGTAGGTCGTAGATGCACAGTGTGGCTGCGTGTGGCCAGTGTTTAAATACCAACAGTGCTGCCACTCTAGCTATTTTGAAGCAGGTGCCACAAATTTGACCGATTTCGAAATGGTATTCCATTTTATTCAAGTTCTAAATCTTAAAAAAGGATTTCCAAACTGAAATCAAGGGTTCTTGCAAGGTATTTTTTCTCATTTTATTGATTTCAAGATGGAAAGGTCGCGCCAAGTGATTTATTAAATGCCATGCAGCTATCCAAGAATAAGTAATAAGTTAATTTTGTGCGTGTCCAGCCGTTTACTTCATAGCTGCTGCCACCTGCCACTGCTGCTGGTACTTTGCCACCGCCTCGCGGTGTTTCAGCATGTCCTTCTCCCTGCAACAGAGGAAAACCGAGTCAGACATCAGGTTAATGAAGGGGCAAGAGCAACTCACATGTTCTCCAGCGTGTCGCTGGAGCTCTTCAGTTCCTTGGAGATGTATTCGATGCGCTTGCCAACGTTCTGGCGAGAGTCCTCCAGCTCCTGCTTTACCAAAACCGGGCCGAAAAGCTTGTACACCTTGTTGTCTGGTCCCAGCAGGTTCAGTTCGTCCAGCACGCATTTGTTTTCGTTCAGCTGGCTTTCCAGGAGAGCCCGCTGCTTGACCATCTTGACGCAGGCTGCCCGGCAAGACGAACAAAACGCATACATTATACATTTATATGAAATCCAATGAGCAGATGGTGTCCTCCAGTTTACTCACATTTTTGCAGGTTTTGGTATGACTCAACCTCGGTCTGCATCTTTTTGTACAATGCTGCGCTGTTTTTGTCCATTTCGATTGATTAGCTGCAGGCGATAGCGGTGAATTTTATCTAGTTTCGAGCAGTTGTTTTACCGGTTGTTAACAATTTTAACAAATTTCGGGAAAATGCATGTGAGAACTGTGCAGTGTGACCGTGCTTGCCTTTGCCAGTTATCTCACTTACCGCTTTCAGAACTTGTTCTAAATTTGGACTGATTTACAGCACTAAAGTCAAACAGCTGTCTAGCATTCACAACATAAAAAATAAATTTAAAAGCATTAGGTATTTAATTGGGTTTAGACTTTTAATATTATTTAAAGAAATATAAGAACAGCATCTCATCTTGATTTTGTAAGAGTTCATTGACGGTTGACCATACTTTTTTATGTCAGTGTTGGTAAACGTGTACAGAAGTATGAAAACGGCATGATAATGGCATTCTGCAACAATCACAACGGATGTACACAAACGCTTCGCTCTGTTAACCCGCAAATTACGAGTATCTTGAAAACATATAGTACGTGTTAAACGCATATAAGTAAATCGCGGTATCAATAATTTGCAATCTAGTGCAGTTGAGTGAAAATATTAATCCGGCCAGAGGCCATCATGCAGTCGTAGCGTGCCACCGCGCCTATAATAACGCTGAGACAAAAGCAAAAGGTTTCGCGCCGAAAAGGAAGACGGCAAAAATACACAAAGCGCTGCAGAAAAATAACAAAAACCGTATCTAAATGGACTCTGCAACGGGGAAAATGTATTTGAATTAATTGCAAACGTGGATACAGTGCGTGCGCGCTTGTGCAAGCGGTAGTAATTGTGTTCCGTCGACCGTCAACTGCCGCCGCCCCCACCCTCCCCTCGCCAACATACACTCACACGCACACACAATGGCTCCAGCGAAAAAACGCGAGAAAGACAATAATGCAGATGGCGGTGCAAGTAATGGCCTAAATGGCCTATCCAACGGAGCGGCAGATGCCGCTACGGCCACAGCCACTGCAACTGCAGGTACTACTGTACCACCGACGCCGGCCGAGGGCCAGGTCAAACTCAATGGACACCAGCAGGAGCAGGAACTCTTTTTGCAGGCGTTCGAGAGTGAGTATTACCTGGGTGTGGGTTGGCCGGGATTAACCTAATGTTTGTTGTTGTTGTGTTTTCAGAGCCCACTCAGATCTATCGCTACCTACGCAATCGACACGAGACAAATGTGAGTATCAGACAAAGTCTCGAATGTCCCAGAAATAATGTTATGTTGTGTCCACAGCCCATCTTCCTGAATCGCACGCTTAGCTACATGAAGGAGCGAATGTCGCGAAACAACAAGAAGCGGGCCACCTTCCATGTCGACTCCATGCTGGACACTATAGTTCAGAAGTCGGAGGCCGTCACCCAAAATTACCTGCATGTCATCTATGATTCTCTGCATGAGAAACTGAAGAGCTCTACGGCCGATGGCGGCGGAGGTGATGATGATCTGCTGCAGGAGCAGCTGCTCTGCGAGGCGGGGGAATCCGTGTGCGTGGAGACGACGCTGTACAAGATAACGCGCAGCAAGCGCAAGGACAGCACACTGGACTTCCAGGAGCTGCTCAGCAAGAGCTCGCAGATTGTGTACAATCCAAAGGATAGCATTGGGGAACATGCCACCATAAGCATACCCTTGCAGACGATGCGACCGATGGGGGAGCAGCATACGCTGTACAAGCTGCTCTTTCGCATCAAGGTGCTGGCGCCGAGCTCGTGCAATGACGAGAATGCAGGTGAGTGGAAAACATTAAAGAAAACCTTAAGATACCTAATAACTTGGAATTTTCTGCTCCAGAAACCCCGCCCCACAAAAGATCGCGTCGCAATGAGAAAATGTTTGGCTCTGAGCTGATCTTGTACGAGAAATCCACTGGCTTTATAACCGAGGGCGAGTACGAGGCCATGCTGCAGCCCTTGAACTCGTCCAGCATCAAGTCCTTCTCACCAAAGAAATGCACCTGGGAGACAATGCCGGACAGCTACATTCCCCTCTCGCTGAGCTACGATGTCTATCAGCAGAGTCCCATGCTCAAGTTCCATTTGACTCTCTCAAATGAGCAGCTACCTGAGATTATTTCGGCTCCTGAACTCCAGCGCTATGTCCAGCCTTTGGATTCGGTGGCCGAGATGAATCACAACAACAACAACTATAGTAACAACAACAATTGCAGCGGTTTGAAAAACGGTGGCTTGATCAAATCCCCGCCAGAGCTTATCCAGATCGTGTACAATTTCATGTACAGCAACAATACGCGCCAGCAGACCGAATACACCCAGGAGCTGCATTGCCCTTGGTGTGGTCTCGACTGCCTGCGCCTGTATGCCTTGCTGAAGCACTTGAAGCTGTGCCATGCCCGCTTCAACTTTACATATCAGCCGGCAGGAAGCGGAGCACGCATCGATGTCACCATCAATGATGGCTATGATGGCTCCTATGCCGGTTCTCCATACGACCTGGCCGGGCCATCGGGCTCCTCTTTTGCTAGAACATGCGGCCCTGTGCGACGCACTTCGGTCACCAGCCTGATGGTGTGTCGTCCGCGGCGTCAAAAGACCTGCCTGGATGAGTTTCTGGAACTGGACGAAGACGAGATCAGCAATCAGCGTTCTTACATAACGGGCCACAACAGGTGAGCTAGGATTACCTTTCAGCAGACAAAAGATATTAATCAGAATTTCATTTCCTTGACAGGCTCTATCACCACACAGAGACCTGCCTGCCAGTGCATCCCAAGGAGCTGGACATTGACTCGGAGGGCGAGAGCGATCCTCTGTGGCTGCGCCAAAAGACCATCCAAATGATCGATGAATTCTCCGATGTCAACGAGGGCGAAAAGGAGCTAATGAAGCTGTGGAACTTGCACGTAATGCGTCACGGTTTCGTTGGCGACTGCCAGCTGCCTTTGGCCTGCGAGATGTTCCTTGATGCCAAGGGCCATGAGATTGTCCGCAAGAATCTCTATCGGAACTTTATCCTGCATATGTGTTCGCTGTTTGATTATGGCCTGATTGCGGCCGAGACTGTCTACAAAACAGTTCAGAAGCTGCAAGGGCTGCTGAGCAAGTATGGCGCCGGCCAGGAGCTAATGCAGCGTCAGCGCGAGGCTCAGCTTAAATTCTGGCTGGACGTTGGCATGCACAAGAAGCAGGAGGATCCCAAGACACACAAATCACCGCAGAAGCCTGCTCCGCCGGCTGAGACTGGAGCTACCTCTTCACCCACTGCCACAGCCTCCACATCCAGTTCGGCAAGCTCTAATGCTATGCAGCCGCCCAAGCGGATGCCAGCTAATCTGAAGAGAGCCAGTGCAGCCGCCGCCGCCGCTGCAGCAGCTGCAGCTCAAGGTAAAGCATCTGAAAATGGAAACAACAACAACAGCAAGAACGTGGCCAAGAAGAGTGCAGACCAGCCTTTACCCACTTTGGCCAACACAAGAGAACGACGCTCGGATCCGGGCGTTAAGCGCAGTGTCAGCGGCACCAGGCTTGGAGAGTCCCGTACTGCCTCCGCACCAGTCTCGAAGCGCAAGCTAAGCGCCAAAGGTAAGTGTGACAACAACTGACAGGAACAACTAGTTGAGCATCCCATCTCCTTCATCGTAGTCATTTTGCTTCGTCACTAACACGGCTTCAAGCGGTCTCACGTTCTCTCAATATTATCACCACAATTACTATAGAATATTTTTACAGTGGGTTGGTTTAGCTAGTGGGTTTAGGTTCACTTTCTACTAATAATAATAACAAATTTTGCAGGCAAAGCTGAAACAAGAAGGTAATAAAATAAAATATTAGAAGGGTGGTTAAGGTTAAAGTTACACAACCTTTGAGGGGACTCGGGAGATTCCCTATAACTCCTAGACCTATACATTTTGCTCAATCAAAACTTAGACAAAAAATGTTTAAATGTTGTGTTATTACATGGTATTTAATTTATTAAGCTAACATTAACCATTTTTTCACAATAATTAACGTTACCTCCCTTAATCACCACTGCCAAAACATAAAGTTGATGATGTAGAAATGCTTTTTAATTGTTTTAAATATTTATAAATAACTGTGAATCGGTAAATGCATCTCATATGTACATACCACCCACCACCACCTCCACTAAGCATCTATCCACCGTCATGAGTTCACGATGAAAACAACACAAAATTCTTCAAAATTTCTATCAAAATTGATGTGGAACGACATCCAACCTCGGATGTTGTTTCTTTTTCTCTCTTTGTTTTGGATTTTTCCCTGAATTTTATCTCTCCTCTCTTGGTCAATGTGAACGCGCTGTCCTTGGCAGATGATGTGGAAGAGCAGGCGGCGGAGGCGGATGTGCCCGAAGTGGTGGCCCACAGCGATAATGCTGTTGATGTTGGTGTTGATGATGAACGTTATGGTGGTGATGTCGTTAGTCCCCTGGGCATTAGTGGCCTTGCAATCCCAGTTGACGACAATTGTGTGGGCAGTTTAAATTGAAAGAAGAATAGTAACTTGAAACTGGAATACCTCCTTCGACCCCAAATAATCGAATCTCTTTTGAAAACTTTGGACAGATAACACAGCAGCGATTACCAAGCGGCAGCGTTACAGCGAGGGAGCCGGAAATGGGACTGTAGGAAACCGGAATAAAAGCAATAACCACACACTGCCAACAACCAGCGACATGAAGAACAACAGTAACAACAGCAGCAGCAGCAAGCGCCTGATTGCGCGACGTCGTTCCACCTCGGAGCGGACCAAGACGAGTGCTTCATCGGGAGCTGGCGGAGGAGTTCGCACCAGACTCTCGGTGCCGGCCAAGTACGAGAGGCGCTGACGCAGGCGCCGTCGACGTCGCCGTTGCTGCTGCTGCTGCTCCACCACCTCTTCCCATTGACCATGCATTGCCAGGGCTTTAGTTGTTTAATTTGTTCAATGCCTTTACTCCTCTTCTTTTCATAATTACTATATTATAATATGTTGTGTTATATTTTAATGGATCTATTCTTATGTTGGACACTTTGTAAAGTCTCGTCTCGGATTCGAAATTGACCTCAAGAAACCCTTAGAACCGTAGACCTTTGTTCGTTGTTTTCAATAAATTCCGAACACTCTTCAGTTAATCACCTTTCTACGCCAGGTACTTAAGAGTACAGCATACAGGGCTCAAGGCTAAACCCCTATCGGGTTAATCAATTCAAAACTAATTTGAATTAACTTGCTTACACCTTAATCTTAATCAAATTCGGGACAACGTTTTTGTGGTAACTTCGTAATTCGAAGAAAAGAAAAGCTTCAATTGTAATTAGTGCAGTTTGTATACAAAAATATACATATATATATATATTAAACGTCATAAGCAAATCTATTTTTAGTGTGAAAAGCGTACTTGACAAGCAAAACATAAATTCCAAATTCACAAAAAAATATAAAATGAAATAAAATAAAAACAAAAGCTATCACTAGAGCATACACCTAATTTTAAACATGCCTACATCAATAAAAAAAATCACTCGAAACACACAACAAAATCGCTGAATAAAGTATGCATATATATATTTTTACAGTGCATTGGTAAGATTGTTTAAATATATTATTTATTGGGTGTTATTCTTCTACATGGATCGACTTGTAGAAGAATTGGCTTTAATAGAAAGGATTGGAAGGATCGCTATGGTTAGGAAGTTCTAATATAACGGGATCTCTTATTTTTGTCGGATTTTTTTAATCACATCTCAATATCATTTATGTCCTTTCTTTGAAGCCATCCCTTTAGTTAGGATCATGAAAATGTTTCAAAAATTATTTTAAAAAAATTAAAAACACACACCTTTAATTTTTTTTATAAGTAGATATATATATTTTGTATTAATGACCTTTGAATCAATTGCCAAATAAGGGGAAACAATCAATTATTTGGAGTTAGTTTACTGAACTTCAATTTCTCGTGTGACCTTAAACGTTACGATGGTTGAATGCAATGCACTTTTTCCTACTTCACAAAGTTGGGATTCTTTTTCAGTATGACGAATCCCTCCATAACGGGCGTCAGCGCCAGATACTCATCGGTGGCCAGCTCGGCACGCTCTCCAATGGCCAGCAGGACGGGCGTGGTATGAGTCTGGAAGCCTGTAATGGTCTTTGGCTTGCCAGCCTGGCCCACCACATCGATGGCAATGCCCACGCGGACAGGCACCTGCAGCTGGTTGAGCTCCTCGTCGAAGGTGATCAGCATACGGGCTTGCATGGCCGGCACCAAGGTGTATAGCAGATAATGGGATCGGTTTAAGATCAGGTTTTTCACGTCCAGCAGCGAGACCAAGGTGGCCATCAGTCCAGCCACAGCCATGGGGTTCATCAGCTGGCGATCGCTGTGATAGGGACTCAGCGAAAGGGTGCCCTTGCCCAAGTGCGTCAGGCTCTGGGCTATGCGCACCATAAACAGATTGCTGGGGTCCTTGGAGTGGTACTGGGCCAGCTGGCGCAGCATCGAGGCCAAGCGGGCGTTGTTGGTGCCGGCTCCCACCAAGCCCATGGCAAAGATGGCATTGTGGGCCACCTCGGCATCGCTGTCGTGCGAGAATTTGCTCAGCGTGTCGAGGATGTTAAGCTTGGGATTGGAGGCAGATATGAGACCCAGGGCCAAAGGAACGGACCTTCGGATAGCGGGCTCACAGTAGCGCAGCAGATTACCAAAGGAACGGTAGGCCATCTCGGCGCCAATGTCCTCGCCCATGGCTATAAGAGCAATGCCCAGCACGGCGATAGCTTGGGTGGCCGAAAGATCCTTCTCGCGCTCCTTTTCCTTCTCCTTCTCCTTTTCCTTATCCTAAAATAAATTAAAGTAAATATTACCTTATAGATCCTTTTAAAAACAACATTACCTTATCCTTGCCCTTGTCCTTCTTGCTCTTTTCCTTCTCCTCGTCGGCATTGGCCGTCTCATAGTGATCCGAGCAGATGTGTAGCAGGTGCTGGATCTTGAGCACATTACCAGTGCCTGCATACGCGCAAATGTCCACCATTGTGGTGGCCATGCTGCGGTACGGCTCCTCCAGGACCTCCAGAGTCATCATTACAGCCTCAGTGGACTTTTGGCGGCCCAAATAGAGCAGACCCAAGCCCAAGAACAGGAACCTCGTGTAGGTGTCCTTCAAATCCGCCTTCGTTAGGCCCATTATGGTCTGCAGAAGGATCTCCGTGATCTCGGCATTGCAGGAACCCACACTAATCAGGCCGAGAGAAAGGGCTGTGATTCCTAGGATCTCAACGCTGGCCGAAGTCTTGTTGTTGCTACCCAAAGAAAAGACTGTCTTTAGGGTATCAATCACAATGGAGCGATTGGAGCCAGCGTAGGCAATACCCAGGCCAAGGATGGCACCAACACGCATGCACGAGTTCTGGTTGTCAATGTAGTCGGAGAGCAAAGCGTGAGCCGGATCGACCTCATTCCGGATGCCGCAGTTGACAATGCCGCAGGCCAGCAAAGCTCCAGACTTGATATTGTCATCCGTGGAGTACAAGTACTTGTCGATCATGGTTAGACCACCATCCACATCCCACAGCAGGATCAGGCCCAGCGAGGCGGTGGCCGATAGCATGCCATGCTCCTTGTTCTTATACAGCCACTTGTTGCCATCCTCGGACAGCAGCTTGTCCACGCCAAAGCCGGCATTGACGAAGCCATTGACAAAGCTGGCAGCCAGGTTCTGCTTGGCCGAGTCCACCTGGATGGAGGCGAAACGAGACCGCGAGTTGTCCAGATGCGACTTGTAGATATCCTCCGGTGTCTTCGGCTCCATGATGTCCAGCTCACGGGCCAAGTTGAGAAAGTGCTTGTTCAGGTTCGCATTGGACATTATCTCCATTAGGTCGTCGTAGTCCGCCACCGACTCGTCCAGCTCCAGACAGATCTGCTGGCGGGCAAGCATAAAAGCCAGCTGCTTCTGCATGGCCGGTTCCTTGGGCTCACGGAAGATCTCGCCGATCTTATCCATGTCGTTTAGCATCAAAGCCAATCGCATGGCCTGCGTGTGCTGGGTGAACTTGCGAGCCAGCTGCAGGGCTGTCTCCAGGATGATGGTGTTGTCCGGTTCGGGGACATACGGATAGCACGACTGCAGGTAGAGGCAGACGCGGGGATAAGCCGACTCGTCCACATAGTCGCCGAGCAGATGAAGGTGATCAATCTCGATCAGCAGATCGCAGGCATCCGCCTCGGCGTTGTGCTCCATGTTGTAGGGAATGATCTGCTTGACCAGCTCGATCAGTTGGGTGCGGAAATCGCCCGTCGTGTCGTGGTAGTGGGCCGAAATCTCCCCAGACAGATGACGCACATACTCGTGTCCCCAGTCGCCGATGCGCTGCTTACGATCGCACAAAAAGCGATAGGCCAGGCAGTCCTTGCCGCTGCCCATGGTCATCGACAGCACAGAGATGATGTCCGCACAAAGCTGGCGCGTCTGTTCGTCGGGCATGTGCTTGTAGACCTTCTTCATGGTTTCGTAGTGCGGCCGCATGAACTTGAGTGGCTTGGGCACCGAGGTCATCGACGTGGTGGAGGCCCTGATCAGCTTGGCCATCATCTCTAGCGCCGGCTGGTACAGCTTCTTGTCTGACTCCTGCAGGCGCAACACCAGCAGCTCCAGCTCCTCCTGCAGCTGCTGGTCCTCGTCGGACAGCTCCTGCTGTTGCTCCTTCTCCTTGTCCTCCTTCTTGCCTTCGGACGACGATGCCGCCTGCTTGGCCTTCAGATCCTTGGCATCGCCGCCGGGAGTCGCCGGCTGCGGCTTCTTTTCCTGCTTGGTCTCACCAGTCATTTTTGCTATAATGCGTTGCCGCCTATTTTTCTGAGTACAAAATCTATTTTGTTCCTACTTTCAACAGAAAAGTCATGCAGCGTTCACTTTTGTTCCTTTTTTTTCGTTGTTTCACAGCAGAATTACACAGCGCTTTTTAATGGTGTGACCGAGTGGCGAACGCCACGACATACCCAGGGTTGGCAGGCAAAAAATACCAAAATAAAGCCAGCGATATTCTTGGGATCTGGTCACACCACACGACAAAAAGTGTTCCAGGGATGCGAGATATATATTTTAATTAAATTTAAATAAATACATTTGAAATTTTTGTAACCTGTAAAATCACAGCTCTATTTTCTATCGGTTATATAGTCTTTAATTCTTAAGAAACAAAAATAATTAATATTAAAATCCCCTCTCGATTTGCTATACCATGCACATTCTGTTTGGTTTTTAAACAAAACTTGAGTATAATAAAAAAAACACTCCCATTTGATCAAGGGGTTAATTCGAAAACACCATTTTATAGAACCTCAAAGGTTGCGTATTAACCTAACAGACCACAGGCTATGTATATGTAGAAGTATATATATCATTTATCATTTGCATTTCTCCAATAGGTAAGTAGTGCTAAATAGAGTAGTTCGGAATTGGAAACTCCATAGGCGTGTCTTCTTCTTAATAAGGGGTCCGTCCTTCAGCCGATTAGATCTTGGCGATGCCAATAACGCCGCACCCGATCCTGGCACCAGCGTTGCCCGTGGACTTGCTCAGCTCATGGCCACCCTTGCCCAAGTCATCGGGATCGGCATGAACTACCACGGTGCGCCCGATGATGCTGTCGGCGCCAAAGAGCGTGATCTTCGAGTCGGTAATGTTGACCTTGGTGGGGCAGGTGCCAGTGGCATCGATGTTACCAAGATCGCCCAAGTGACGGTTCTCGTCAGCAGGAGCTCCGTGCTCCTTGCCATGAGGGTTGAAGTGGGGACCGGAGGACATGCAGCCGTTGGTGTTGTCCCCGAATTCATGGACATGGAATCCATGGAGACCCTTGGCCAGGCCGCATACCTCTCCAGTGACCTTTACGGGCGTATCGCTGCTCTGTGGACGACCAAAAAGAGAGAGATCGGGTACAATTAAACCAGCGCAATAGATAATGATTCTTGCTGATAAGGCTATAGAGTTGTATGTAATCATGACAAGTACATATAACAGAAGCACTCCCTTTATCGTTTGCGGTCAAAAACTAGTAGATAGATAGTATGAGGTACAATAGTTGTGCTTTCAGTGGCAACAATAATGACTTATAAAAAAATATTATAAAAAAAGCATAAAGACGTTGCAACATAAACCAAATTATAAAATGGAGAACACCGAAAAAAAACCGCTATCACTATTTGATGGTTCTATATTTTTGACCGCTGCTGTATTTACACATGTACTTGAGCCCGCAGGAGCACGTCCGGCGCAAAGTTGTTGAGCTTATATAATTGTGCATTTGTTGGGTGACTCGGCAGAATCGCAATCGCACTTAATTGAAACGATGAACGCAGAATTTAAAACAGTTTAATGCAAATGGAAGCGGGAGCCCCGGCGGGGATAGGAGGAAACCGGCGATCCGACCTTTAGAACTACTCCGGCAGTTGTTGTTTTTGTTTTTTGCGCGTCAGCCATTTTGCCAGGCAATTAAAGACCAATGTATGGTGCTTTGATTGAGCATACTCACATCCTGTTCGAAGAAAACGGTGCCCTTGGCATCGCCATTAATTACGCAGACAGCTTTGACCACCATTTCGACGATTGATTATTTGTGAAATGAGAAAACTTGCAAACTTTTTCCAGGTATCTCGCAAAGTGTGGCCGTTTAAGGGTCTCTGTTAAATACCACGGTAGCAACTACCTTGTTCACACGTTATCTGCTTTCGGTATTTTAAAATAGTATTAGCATTTTAAAAATGTTTTTTTATTTATATAATAGCCTGAAATTATAAACAAATCAATTATTGCTGCTTTAATTGATTGATTTTGATCTTTTTAAGTGTTTTCTTAACCTCCCTTACGTTTTTTGAATCGAAACCGCTTGCAAAAGCGATGGTAAAGTGCTCTTTTTGGGAGCTGCATTTTTTACAGCTTTGATATCATACTGGTTATATGGTCAGGATCACCACCTTTTTTGTGACTTTTTTTTAGGGTAAAACCACACATACATGCGAAGTTAGAAATAAGCAAGTTGCGCATTTTTTGAGCTGGTCTTTTGTTAAGTTACTATGGAGAGTTGGTAAATATTTATCTATAATTTACCCCTTATCCTAAACTTAAGGTAACTTTCTTACTTCCGAAGGTTGGCCAGTTCCTTCCAGAGCCTTACCGAGGAGGATGAATTTACTGACTGCTGTATATGCGTAGAATCGAGGACATTTCGGTGCCACAAAGTTATATTGGGCGTTGCCGCCGACTTCTTTAAGCGCACCTTCCTGTCCGGCTTTAAGGAGTCCACCACCGGGCAACTGGTCCTTACCAATGTCAAGGCGGATACATTTGAAAAGTTCCGGCTGTACGCCTACACCTACAACAGGGAGACCTTGAACAACTACAGCAATGAGGATATTGTCGGCCTGCTGGAGTGCGCCGCCATGTGGATGGTTGATCCGCTGAATAGGGACTGCGTTGAGATCATTAAGAAGAGACTGCCCGAAATGCTTTTCTCCGATCTGCTTCTCTACTTTGAGTTTGGCCACCATATCCACGAAGAGTATCTCATCGGGGCCGCTGCCAAGCAGTTAAACTTACGGTATATACGAGATCGCAGGCTCCCAGACGAAGTCTTTCAATTGGGCTCGGATGTGTTCCGAGAGTTTCTTACCGCAATGACGCACATGAAGCAAATAAATCGTTATCAGTGCGTGGAGAAGTATGTGGCCATTCATGGATTCGTACTTAACTTAGACGATGCCAAGAAATGGGAGTTCAAAGGCCTTGCCAATAATAATAACAACAAACAGGAATCGGATGAATATGCGAACCCCAATCCGTTCAAGGTCGAGAAATTAAACTTGTCCGCTAATGCGGATGGCCTGGCGATATCCCTAGATCCCAGGCCAAAAGAAATCAACATCGAGTATGTAAAGAGCTTGTTAAATCTTATAGACTTTAAAAAAATGACAGCTCAGGAATTTTACGATGGGCCCGGTAAATCAAAAATGATGACCTTCGAGGAAAAGTTCAATTTACTCTACACGATAGTAAAGACAAGAGGTGATCGGGGTTGTGATAATTCTCATTCTTTTCCCTTTAAATAAAATAACCACAATGTATAATACGCAGCAAAAAGAATAGATTTCATTTTCACCAGAATAAGCCTCATTCCTATACGTCAGGTTTTTGAACACACCTCTAAGGTGTTTCAATACATATTCAGAAATATATGAAAAAATACCGATCAAAATTTAAGGATGATATTTTGGAGACCAATAATAAATTCTGCAAATATTAATTTAAAAAATGTTGTTTCTTAATTTTATGGGGAGAAGAGTTCTTTAAAGCGTATGAAGTTACGGCACCTAATAAAATAATTATCAACATTGTTTCACAATATGTATTGCTTTTTCTGCTATTCGAAAAAGTTTAATTATATGTAGCAAGTTTAGGCCGATGTCATTTTTATCCTAACAATCAAGTTGCTTTCTCTTTTTATTCCTAAATTAAAACAAGAAAATTATATTTGATTTTTTCTTTTTTTTTTGTTGTTTTTTAATACACAATTTGTCCAAACACTTAAATGGGATTTTCTTCATTAATAAGAATAATAATGTGTGCAATCATTTCATTCTTTATATGTTGTTATTATTGTTGTATCCGTAAATTTGTAGATATTACTTTATAATTTTCATCCTTTTGTTTTTATGTTGTATTTTAATGTTTTGTATATATATTTATATATATATATTTTTTTGTTATATTTAAATCGATATAGGTAAAGGTATGTAGATAGGTAATAATATTCATTCGCCTGTTTGTTTTGTTTGTTACTTGTGTGGTTTGTGGTTGCTTGTTGCTTGATTTCCCCCCAACTATCTCATGCTTTCGGTCACATAGCTATAACATCTTAAACAATCATAATCATCAATCATTACAATATAATCAATCGCATATATCTATGTATATAATTTTGTTTGCTTTGTTTGCTTGCTGCTTTACCTCACTTTAAACTTAAAATGTATTATTATTACTTAGAGAGTAGCGTCATCGAGCATATTGAATTCGTCAGATCTAAAAAGGGATAAAAGGGGTCGTATCGTAACTTCGAATCGGATTTCGAATGTCGAATTTCGAAAAGTGTGCACTTGCCATGCAGAGTTGCCGCCGTTGAACGGTATATTTTAAGCACAATCTCGCAGTTGCCATTATGTTTAATGGTTGCATATTAATTTTTATACAATTTTCCCCTCGTTTGCCATGCTTTGCCATGCTTTGCTTCGCTTGCGTTCTTCTAGTTTGTGGATTGTGGTAAGGGTTTTGGATTGGCAAATTCAATATACTAGATGGAGATACTTTTTGTTTTGCTTTCTTATCGATTCCACCCCGCCGTGGGGCCCACTATTTGCCCTTGTTCTGCCGGTGCTTCTGGATCCGCACGCATCAGAGCACCTCGGACACGTACTTGGGTCGCTTGGCCACGGTGGCTTCGGTGGCAGTGGCAGTGGTGACGCACTCCTCCTCGCTGGCCTCGATATGGCCACTGTAGTCGGTCGGCAACTCCTCGTAGATAATCTCTGAATGCTGCTGCTGCTGTTGCTGTTGCGCCACCTGCGCCTGCTGCTGGTGCAACGAATGCTGCGATGCTGCCCCGCCGGCCATCACATGGTTACGCTTTAGCGCAATCAAAGCACCCACCCCGCCGCCTCCGCTGCTCGCGTTGCTGCCCTCAACGCCAGAGTTTTGATTGGTTACATAGTACGGGCTGCCGCTGCTGAAGGTCAGGACATTAAAAATTAGTTTGCAATGATGATTGACTATACTCCTAACCTGTACTGATTGGAATTGTTTGACAGCGTCTGCTGCTGCTGCTGTTGTTGTTGTTGTTGTTGCTGGTGTGCATTTTGAGAGTTGTAGATTTCTGCAAGGTATTTTATTGATTAAATTGCTTAGCTTGGCTGTCTTTAAAAGTATAGTTACCAGGATCTGCTGCGCGCTGTTCCAGCGACATTCCCGGCGAGCCAGGAGCGGATTGCAGCACAATATCTTGCAACGGTGAGCTCTCCCGAGAATTATCTAAAACAATAAACGTGTACTTAGAATAAAGGCCGGGAAAACTCGTTAGCCAGATACCTACCCATGTGACTGGGCGAGACCGGCGCCGACCGGGGCATTCCGTAAGGCGGACGGAAGCCCTGGCTACTCCGTTGGCGACGCTTCTTGTAGCTATGATCGATTAGCTTTGCGCCGCTGTCCGGATCGATTCGCCAGAAGGAACCCTTGCCCGGCTCGTCCTGGGAGCGTGCTACTTTGATGAAATACCTGAAAAATTAAGCGGAGACATTAAGATAAATATATTTAAGAAAAATTTATGATCTAGTGGAGGTTTTGAATTTAAAAATTATATATTATTTGGGGGTTATTATTTGGTGTTAATAGTGGATGATCCTCACCTATTCAAACTGAGATTATGACGTATGGAATTCTGCCAGCCCTTGTTGGTCTCCTTGCGGTAGTACGGATAGTGCTTGACAATAAACGAATAAATGCCCGAGAGCGTCAGCTGCTTGTCTGGAGCAGCCGATATTGCCTGAACGATCAGCTGGGCGTAGCTATACGGAGGCTTCTCGTTGTGATTGTAACTGGCTGTGGAGGGGGTCTGGAACAGATCCTGCTGTAAATGTGTAAGGTTGGGTAAGTTTCATATTGTTTTTTATAATAAATTATTATTTATTATTTTTTCTTACCGTGTTGTTGTTACTGTAATTGTTGTAATTGCTGGGCTGATTTTGAATGAAACCCTGACGTGGACTAGCCGGACAACTGTTGGCAGCGCTAATTGTACCTGTTTTTAAAGCAAAAATAAACAGAGTTAACATGGGGAATTTATGGTACTAGTGTCTAAGAATCTATTAATACGATAAAGTATAATTTTGTATTGCTTTTGATGACTATTAACTATTAACATTCCACGGAACTCTTGGAATATAACAAATAAAAGGAAATTCCACTTGCCAGTTGGTGACAGGTAGGGGCTCTTTTGCTCCTTCTTGGGTATCGATATCTTGAGCGGTGAGTAGATACCGGGTCCATCACCGGCGCCTATCAGGTGGCCAGCTGCCCCCGCAGGGGGCCCCACAACGATGTTACCGGCGCGTTGCTGCTGCTGTTGTTGCAGAGCTGTGTGGTGGAGCGGGTGGTGTGGTGTATGCGGAAGTGGATGGTGCGCCGTCTGCTGCTGCAGCGGCAGGTGCTGCGCTGACTGGTGGTGGTGGTGCTGCTGCTGCTGCAGTTGCTGGTGATGGTGTTGGTGTATCTGCTGCTGCTGCTGCAAATCGTCCCTTGGCGGCGGGGTTATGATGACATGAGCGCCACCGGCACCTACGCCACCAACGTTGCTTACGACCAAGGATGGCGAATGAGTACCGGCAGCATCCGATGGAGGGGCGGGCATATAACTCTCAAACTCAATCCGAATCTCCGTGCTGGGAAAACGAAAATAGCAGCTGCAAAGAAAAGATTCGGTTATAGGAATATTTTCTTCCACTTTGGTAATTTGACTTACCGTTGCGGCAAACGCAATGGATCAACATTACGGCGCTGCAGGAAGTCGTCCACGAATATACCGTTCTTGCTGAGGCACTGGACAAAGAAGGCGCGCAGCTCCACATCGAAGAGGACCTGGAAGTGCTTGCGCGACACCAGATTATTCTCGGCCACGTTGAAGTGGACCAGCGATGTGGAGGAGTTGCGTCCGATCACTGTCACCGCGTCCGTGATGGGCAACACCTCCTGGTTGAACCGTAGCTCTCCATACGGCGGAGGTGTTGCTGAGGCGCTGGCGGTGGCTGAGGCGGAGGGGGTGGTGGTGTTGGCAGGTGGGTGGTTTGCTGAGTTGTTGTTGTTGATCAGCTCGGCGCTGCTGCTGCTATTGTTGTTATTATTGTTCAGCGCCGCGGCGGCTGCTGCTGCTGCACCATGATGCAGCTGCAACATGTCCTTGGCAATGGCAACGGTGGCTGCGTCGGCTGCGGCGGAGGCAGCGACGCCGGCTGTGGCAGCGGCTGCAATGCTGGTGGGAGTGTTCAGAACGGTATGTACCGTTACAATATTATTATTATTGTTGTTGCTGCTGCTGCTGGCACTGTTGATGCTGCTGTTGTTGTTGGTGCTGCTGTTGCCGGTGGTTGTTGCTAGTGTTGTGGTTGTTGATGTTGTAGTGGCGGCCATTTAAAAGGTAAATCCCACTTTGTCCAATGTTCTTCTAGATGTTGTTATTGTTGGCCTGTAAAAATATTGCATTATATTTTATTATATTTGTTGATTGGTATTGGTCATCTTTAAGTCATTAGCACTTTTATTATTTAGTTGTGTAAGGATTTAATAAGAACGTTTTATAACTTAAATAATTCTCGACTTTTCTTAATCTTATCGGAGTATTTACTTAAAGATATTTTTTGTTTATTTTTATTATTTTTCCTTAATTTGTCACTTTTTTCGTTCATTGAAATTTCTTAGCTTTAAATTTTTTTTCTGATGTTTTTATTTTTTATATTGTACATACACATGTACCTACAGAAACTTTTTTTCTAGAGCTCAGAACTGATTTTATGCTTTTAACTTGGCGAGTTTGTTTTTGAAGCCTTTTTTTTAATAGTTGTTACCGTTTATTTTATTTTCTTAATGTTTGTACATTGATTGCATTCATTTTTTTCCTTTGCCTTTTTCACAGCTTTTCACGCGCTTTTCGCTCTTTTTCGTTTTGGCCCCAAGGTTTCTTCTTTTCGTCAGCCACAAATTATTTTCCAAATATATACGTACGTACACACACACTGAAAGAATCACACTGATACAACGACGTCGATGCCTGATTCTGGTTGCCCTGCTGACTGGCAGTTTGTCTCCCTCACACCTCACCGCACCATCGCTCCAACCCCTCCCCCACCCACAACCGTTTCGTTGCTGTTTCGGTTTTTGCTTTACTCTGTTTTGCTACCGCAGCCGCGCACACAGAAACACACATATACATACATACGTACATACCTCGGTCGGCAACAAAAACAAGCGCCGATTGAAGCAACAACAATAATAATAATAATAACACAACTACTACTACCACGCGACTGGCACTACGTGAGTAAACACACACGCACACGGCGGACCAGGACGGAGAGCGGCAACACGCTTGCGCTCTGCTCTCTTTCGCTTTCCCGGGCAGTGTGGAATGGAGCGGAGCAGAGAAGTTGGCATAATGCCGGCGCAAAGCAACAGCAGCGCCGATGGAAAAATCTCCAACTCCACACTCACACATAGGCGCTGATGTATGTATGTACATAGCTCCCATTCTCTCCAAAACTGAGCTTGCGGCCAGTGTTGCCAACAGGCGATTACATGCCAGAAATAGCCGAATAAATCATTCAAAAGCTGTAAAAGACTGCATTAAAACTGGTACGAGTGGACTTTCGCTACTAACGGAGGAATCCTGCGTCTTAAAAACTAACAATGCTAATTTTTCGATGAAAAATTAAACTTCAAAGTTAAAACCGAATTTTGTGGCCCCATATCTAAGGATATGAAAGGGACCACAAGCGTCAAGTATACAAAAACAAGTAGGACTTTGAGTTCAACTTTGATACATAATAAAAGTTATAAAAAAAAAATTGCTGTGTGGCTACGAGCCTATAATTAAGGAGATTAATATTTTACTAAAAAAAAAAAATTCAAGACAATTTGTTTTTTAGAAACTACCCGTTGTTTTGCACCTGTCTTACAGATTAAAAACTGTAGCTTGCACGGTTTTTTAATTAAACTACATATTCGTATAAAAATTTATGTACAAATGCACGCGGTGTTATTTCCATGGCGACCGAAAACCTTTCGAAGAACGATCTGCATCTTGTGGGTTGCAGTGGCAAAGGGGGGAATCAAATAAAGCTGCTTTTTTTACGAGTTGATAAACGGACGTTGGCAACACTGTTTACTGTTCACTCTTGGGCTTGTTTGGCTCCACACACATACACAGAAACAGATTGAGAACTCTCGCACTGGCAGGCCCCACATGGCTCCCCATCAATCGATCGAGCTTGCACGCATAAACATGCAAAACGAAACCAAAATAAAATTAACGAGAACAACAAAAGGCAAACAAACGCCCATACATACAGCCATATAAATAAACACACGCATACACACACATGCTACATTTATATTGGCGAGTACATACGAACGTATGCATGTGTTAGGTCACTCGTAACGGCAACGGCGGAGGCACCGAAAGAGGAACACAATAAATAAATAAAAACACCAAAATACACACACACGTACACACATACAGTTGGCGTATTGGAAATGCGTAAAAATGCCGCTCGTTGATTTTTCAGCTAGCAACCGACTCCACCTGCGCATACATACAGACGACGGATGTCTTGTTTGTCTCTTTGTAAACACACAAAAAGCACACTTTTCACAACGTAGCTGCTCTCTGGTTTTTGCTCGGCGATTGCGTAAACTGCCGCCCGCTTTTTTCCCACCTAACATCAAAATATGTACACACACTTGAGGCCACCCATACACGAATACGTGTGCGAGTGTTCGCTGTGTGTGTGTGCATCACTTGAGCGTGTTCCAAAATAAAAACTTAATTTTTATTTATATGCGATTGTGCTGGTTGCTTTTCCGCTCGCTCTGCTATTGATTCTATTATTACTAATTCGCTCTCTCTCGCTGTTTATATTTTCGCCGTTGGTTATCAAACTCGAACTGTTTTTGTTGTTTTTCCATTTGCCTTCCTTTTTTTTTTTGCACACAACACGTTTTTCGCTGCGTGTTTGTGTGTGTATATTATTTTTTGTTCGCCTTGTTTATTTTTATTTTTTCGTACCTTCTTGAAAAACCTTTGCACCTCGGTATTCGATAAAACTCGCGAAATGGGCGTAACACTAGTGATTTGGCAATTTATTTAAGCCGATTTGTGCACTTTTTCTGCGATTTTAATGCGGTTTTTCCGATTCTTATTGCTTGCAGCGCAGCGCGGTGAAGGAGAAGAAGAAGACACCGTTCGCTTCACGATGTGGCAACGCCGGCCTCGGAACAACGAAAGGAAAGAGCGCATGGCAACGGGTGGCAACGCGGCGCGTCAGCTGTTCGGCCGCCTTTTGATTTTGTAACAGTTTGGAGATTTCGGCGAAAATGCAAAGTCTGACTCGTCTGCTGAGCACCGCCCTCACCCTGCAGCCCCCGCAGCGGCTGGGCACTGCAGCAGCCGTTGCCCTGCAGCAATTGCGCAGCAAAACCAAGGTGGTTGAGAAGCCCAAGCCTGGCGCCGGTCAGCAGTTCCGGCGCACCGTGCACTTTCCTGAGGAGTACACGGTGGAGCCGCTTAAAATCACCCATCTGGCGGGCCGGGATCCGGTCTCTGGTCGTCTGGTGGCCAAGGGCATCGGCGGCGGCGTCAAGCAGCAGTACCGCTGGGTCAAGTGGGTGCGTGACGGCCCGGCGGAGGGTGCTCCGCGGGAGGAGCTGGTGCTGGAGGTGCTTCGCGACGGCTGTCGTACGGCCAAGGTGGCCTTGGTGGCCGTTGGCGACGAGCTGAAGTATATTCTGGCCACGGAGAACATGAAGGCGGGCGACATCCTAAAGACTTCGCGAGTGATCCCAAGGATTCCGGGTAGGTCTAACTCTATACCATAGATAATTACACAAAAATTAAATTAAATTAAATCTCCGTAGTGCGTCCAAACGAGGGCGATGCGTACCCGTTGGGCGCTTTGCCCGTCGGCACCCGTATCCACTGCCTAGAGAAGAATCCCGGCCAAGCCTGCCATTTGATCCACGCCGCCGGAACCTTTGGCACCATCCTGCGCAAGTTTGATGATAAGGTGGTAGTGCAACTACCCTCCAAGCGCGAGTTCGCCTTCCAGCGCACCTGCATGGCCACTGTGGGCCGTCTGTCCAACACGGAGCATAACAAGGAGCATGTGGGCAGTGCGCAGCGCATGCGGGAGCTGGGTAATCGCCCGCGATCCGGTCTATGGAAGCGGAAGGAGGGTAAGCACGGAAGGAAGATACGCCGCCTGCCGCCCATGACCACGATAGCACCGCCGGCACCGCCCAAAGAGGAAGCCATCAGGCTGACGCTGCCCCTGTGAGGCTTTTATTTAATTTCTATGTTTCACACATTATACAACTAGAACTAGATCTATTTGCGCGTTTTCTTCATGGAAAATCCAGTGCCGTGGAAGCTCTCGGCATCGGCTCCGTCCGCGTTGCCAGCTCCGGCGGCTTCCTCGCTTCCCCTGTCGCTGATGGGCCGAATGTTACGGTCGAAACGGATCAGGCCGAACTCGAAATCGTAATCGGGAACACCGCGAGGCAGAACCTTTTTGAGAACCGGCGTCTCCAGCTGGCTCTCCTTCTTTTTCTTGCCATCTAAGCGAACGCCAGAGCCTTGGAAGGTTTCAACCACCTCCTCAAGTACGGTATTAGCTGCGCCGGAGACTTCACCAGCCGCAGATCCCGCGGAGCCCTTCTGCCCGGAGCCGGAGGCCTGCGTTTCCGAGTGATCCTTGTAACCTACCGGAGCCTCAAACTCTACGTTCATGTCGCACTCGATGATGCTGACTGCATTTCCAGGCTTCGTCTCCAGGACGCACAGCTCGTAGACCTTCTTGTTGTATTTGATGGCGATTACATCGCCCTTAGTCAAGCAAGCGAAGTTGCGAAGCGCGTTCTCCAGCACCGCTTTTGGATTGGTGATGTCCAGGAAGTCTGTGCTGTGCGGCTGAAACTTGGAGAACGTGGCCACAGGCAGGGAGACGCTCTCGATGTTGAGGATATCGCCCTCCTCAAGCAGCAGATTGTCCATCATCCAGTAGGGCAGGTAGCATTTACCCTCGTCGGCGACGAACTCGAGGACTCCGGCGTGTGAGGAACGCGACTTCTTGCCGTTGGTGAGCTTGAACAGCATTGGGTACTCCACATTCAGGCGGGTCAGCGTGTCCAGCGCCGAGGAGGGCATGATAACTGCAAAATAAGTACAAATATTCTAGGTTCTTGCTGCTGATTGCCAAATATACGTATCACACTCACTTTTTCCACCCTTTTCCACATCGGATCGCTCGTTTCCGGGCAACATTGATACGGAGAAGCACTTGTATGTGGCATGGAAACTGCGTCCCTCTGGGAACATCATGTTGAAGCCGCTGAAATGGAACATACTGTGTGTGCTTGGCCCTTTCCTGGCTTGCTCGAACTGTCTCAAATTCCTGCTGGATTTCCCAGTCTCTCTATTTTTCCTCAACTGTTTATGTTTTTTCTAGTCACTGTCAGTGTGACCGCAGCAACAAAACAAATTGGTCGTTTTTCTGTTAGACACTTAACAGTCGGTCTGATTTACATTAACATTGAACACAACTTAAGACTTGAGTTGAAAAATTATAAATGTTTCTATATTTTAAACTTTTAATTGTTAATTAAGTAGAAATTGTTAATATTATTGACGTAAAAACCCCCTTTATTTAAAATAATATATCAAATATTTCGAAAATGAGGCAATTTGTCTAACGATGTACGGACCAACACCCTTTCCATCCCAGAATATGCAGACGCATACACTTTTGCTACCAATTCCGTGTTTTAAAGTGTTATTTAAAAATTGCACACCTATTATTTTGCCCATATGTGTACTTATAGACCTTTTCACTATGAGCTTTAAAGCTCAGTATTTTTGCTTGCATGTAAAACTTTGTTTTGACATTTTACTTTGATCTGGCACTTTTGGTCGCTGGGACCGAAAAGTCTGGCAACGCCGCGGCACTAGCGACCAGCGTTGCCAGACTTTTCGGTCCCAGCGACCAAAAGTGCCAGACTTTTCGGTCCCAGCGACCAAAAGTGCCAGATCGTCGGTATAGACTTTATACTTACATTTGACATTCTACATAAGAGTGACCAAAGAAAAAGTATTAAAAAATATCAAATGAAAATATCGCGATTTCGATATTTTGATATCAACAAACCGGTGGTTGCGCGCGACAGTCCCGCTTAAATAAAAATAAATTCCAGTCAACGGGTTATTGATTCGAAAAAGTGCTGCTATTCAAGTGAGTAAATCCAATGGGAAAACTCTTGCAACTGGGACACGGCTGTCAGTGGATAATTTCACGCAGGAATCGCTCCCTGCAATCTTTTCAGTGCTCGCGTGTGTGGGTATATCCTTGTGTATCCTTGTAGTCTGGCTGGCGCCGCGTGTTTTCGCGTGGGTGTGTGCACGGGTGTGTGTATGTGTGAGTGAATAGATTTTCGCCAATATTTTCTCCACGCCAAATATGAAAAAGATCGGCTGTCTAGAGTCTTAAACACAAGAAAAGGAGAAAATGTGTGTCTAGAAAAATCAATAAGCTGTGAAACTGATTGGGCGTGAAAGAAGGCGGCTGACGCCAGGGGGAGGTGGAGGGAGGCGAAGGAGCGTTTGCGGCGTTTTCCCGTTTAAAAGCAATTTTCCCAAAATGCATGGTTTGCTGCGGCCAGAGTACAGTTACAGTTACTTTTAATATTTTGCATACAGTTTGAGAGTTACTGCCGCCATGTGCAGCTGTTTTCAAGTCTCTGTTGTGGTTCGTTATTGTTGCTTCGCAGCTGCAGCAGCACCAAGCACAACACCAACGCGACAACAACAACAGGGCAGGAGCAGGCAGAGAGAGGATGCGACAAAGGACGAAAAAAAAAAGAATCAACTTCCCTGCGCACTCTCACGCTCTCATGTCTTCTGGCAGCTTCCAGACAGTCCCGCTCCCGTTCTCTCCCTTTCGATTTTCGCCCAACAACAGGAACAACAAAAACCGTATATGATTCATTATCGAACTCCTCCTTCTCGCTCGTCCTTTATCATTTCTCTTGTGACATTTTCTTACTGGAATTTTTGTGTTCCAATAAGTTGTTTATTTCACAATATGAGAACCTAAATAGGATATTTAACTACCCGATATTGTGGTGAAATCAAATTGTGAAATTCCTTCCTGTTCATCCTTTGATATATTTTTTTCCGATTTACACAGTCTGAATTGCAATCTTTATATTTTTTTAACTGGATTTGGGAGAGTTTTTAAATATCCAGAGGCTTTTGTATTTAAATAATTAATTTAATTTTTTAAATATTTAATTTCAAATTAAGTAGATACATTTAAAAAAATATTTAAGAAATCTACAAAATTAAATTATAATTCGGAGCTATTTTTTATATTTTTTTTGGTTAAGCAAAACAATAAATATAATTTACAAAATAGGCAGATAAGTCCCACGGTCCAGCCTTACATCACAAAATAGGAAAGAAAACTAAATTTATCAAGCTAAAGCGAAAATAGACCAACGTCCCGCAAAGTATTTAAATTTGAAATAGCGAATAGTGCCTCAAAAACTATGCACGCCCAATGCACAATAAATCCAAATAATATAAATAATATTTCCGAACCAAATCCGAACCTCAATTTCGGTTTGCTTACGTCAAGCAAACAATTTTCCAATTGCAAGAAATCCGTTTTTTTTCTGAGCGAATGATATCATGACTAAACAGATTGCTCCGGGCCACGGATGAGTTGTGGGCGGGCGTTGGGGTGGCAGCAACCCTGCAAGGTCATAGCGTGTACACACCCGTTGAAAGGTGTGTGTGTGTATGCGAATTAGCCCGACTCGCTGGACTCCATATTGCAGCATGCACCGAACATGCGACTCTTAAACTCTCAGAATGCTCTTCAGGTATTAGCTGGGATATATCCAGCATTAGGTATTAGAGGTTTTTTATTTGATAAGCTCAGTAATGTGTATACTTTATAGAGAAAGGCAAGGCAATTTAAAGTTAAAAGTTAAAACTTTTTAAATTAGAATAATACAAGAAATAATTTCTGGGAAAGGTACCTAAAAGTTAAAACCGTAATTTTGATATCATAATGAAGATTTTTGTAATATATCAAAGCTATAATTACTATTTTTCGAATAATTTTCCGGTAGTTTTTATGGTTCGATCTCAAATTTAAACTACCTGAATTAGAAAAAGTATTCATTTTAAAGTTTTTACATCGAAAAGAATAGATATACATTTATACATGCTGATCAAATATATATATGTCTGTATATTTTAGGGGAGGATACTTCTTACTAAAATCATTATACAGCAAAGGGTATAAATATTAAGAAGTTTTATGAACATGAGTCTGTTGCCAGGCGCCCAAAAATGTATTGAATGGGAATGGTTTCATTATATGTATGTAAATATATATATGGTACAGTAAACAACACTTCCACGCTATATTTATATATGTATGTATATAGATTTGCACAAACATACAAAAATACAGCCATATGTATGTGAATTTCAATGAGGCAGCAAATAGACCCTTTTGTTGTTTTTGCTCTGAAGTCCCGGCAAAATCGCTTTTTTGTTTTCGTTTTTTTTTTGTGCACACGTTTTAAATATCAGCCGACAAACTCGTGATTTTATTTTTGGAAAAGAACCACAACCGCTTCAAAGTTCAACTTTTGTGATGAATGTTACGAAGGTAGAACAAAAAAGAATTGGGGAATCGGCATAATAAGCAATAGGTAAAAAAGACAGCAACCACTCCCCAAACGCTGCTGGCATTAATTTACTCTTTCACTTCTCAAGCTTGTACAGTCCACACGTGCTGGAAATTTTTGCCATAAAAGTATACTGAAAAAAATTATATAAAATATATAAATTTGGGGGGATAACATATCATTCAATTTTTAACAAAAGCATTTCTACTTTGAATTATTTTTAAGAATTTAGGTATTATCATAATTAATAGCATACCAATTTTTAAAGCAATCAAACATAAATATCCTCTTTGAAATTAAATTTATAAGTAACATCATCGGTGGCTCAATAGGTTAATATAGTTCTTAATATATTTTAAAGCTTTTTTTGTTCGCCTGCTTTTTGTTTTTGCCAATGGTTTCTTGCACGTGTTTGTTAATTATTTGTTTCCACGTTTTTCACACTTGAGGGATCATTGGATTGGGCCGGCTTAGGGTTACTTGGCTTCGAAATGGGCTAAGGGCTACCCCTTTTGTAGGGTAGCATTGGGTTGTGCATCTGAGGGAGCAAAAAGAAGGAGTTGTTCACCATATTCGAGGGTTCACTAAAATTTATATTCTATTATTGTTCAATTGCTTAGTTGTTCTTTTAGTATATCATTGGTTCTAAGCTAGTTTCCTCAAGCGAAAAGGGCCATAGTCTGGTCTCGCCAAGTTTGACAGCAATTGGATGAGGCGGTGTTAATTTAAAACAAGTTACCCCGGATTCAGCGGCGGCATGACCTTGAACTTGCGGCAGCAACCACCCCAATAATGTGAAAATGTGAGCCCACCACCGCAAAAAGCCAACAGGGAGCTACATTCACCACCAACAACAAGTGGAAATCGCTTTAGGGGTGGTAGTACTCTTTTGGTAGTGCACTGGGTCCGCCCTGGAAAACGCCCGTAACAGGTCTTTATCCAGGCTGTTTCGGTCTGATCCGTCCTTGGGACAGTGCGGCAAATTAAATCAATATTAAATGCAGTTTACTATTTGCAGTGGCTGTGGAAATTGCAGTTGGAAGGCGGCAGGCAATGTCAAGGTTGTCAGTGACGGTTACAGGTGCACTGTACAAAAGAAAAAATATAATGTTGGTTTAGGGATAAATCTAAGAACTAAAAAAATAGAAGGATCTTGAAAAATTCTTAATTTTAGGGAAATTACAATAATCAGCATAAAGGCAAAGAATTTGTCTAAATTAATGTGTTAACTATCCCGTTTGAAATTTAAGCTATTCTATAAATTTAAATATCTCTCTAGGAATAGCTATCGTTAGGCATTAGGAGTTCCCTTACCTCTAATACCTGTATAAGTACACCTCCTCTTGCACATGCCAGTCAATCCAGTTTAATTCCATTTCCATGACATGCAATGGCAATAGCAAAACCTGAAGCCAGCCACCACCTGCCCATTGATTGTCCAGCTTACCGTCGACCTGCTCGGTCTTAAGGGTTCAATTCAATTATTAACTGCCCATCTACCAGGCAATAACTAGTATTTCTCATCGGACAAAGTGCGTGAATTGATTTATTGTCCTAGAAAAATACACACGGATGTTACAGACAATGAGTTTACTTAATAAAATTTAATAAATAAATTAAATTGAGTTAGATTTTGTTATATTTTTATTTATATTTATATCAGCGACAGTGCGACAGAAGTCTTAGTATATGAAGAACACATGAATTATATAAGGAATTAGTCTTTATTTTATTAATTTTTTAAGCTAAAGTTTTGAAATAAGTATAATTATTTTTTGATCTTTATTTACTTACGAACTAAGAAGATAAGTTGGTGAATCTATACTAAATTATCTATACTAAATTGTATTTTATTTACTTATTTACTTACGACTTATTCGACCCCCCTAAACCCTCTTCACAATGACCAATCATTTATTACCTGAAAAACCAGCCCCACTTTGCGTGCTTTGCCTATTTTTAGTTTAAAAGTTCAAAATACGCAACAAAATTGGAGGCTATTACCATAAAACTATGATTGTTTCCTTCCCTCTTTCCATTGTGAGAAAGGGAAATGTGCTTTTTAAGAGGGGGCGGAGCAGAGGGGGCCGGTGAATAAAGCACGCAAATATAGAAATTTCGCGACCATACGTCATGGCATAAACGGTATAAAGCGTTGCGACCTTGCCAAGCCGCGGTGTCAGCCATTGTCCTGGTTACACTTGCCCCAGCCCCAGGCCTCCTCTGACCTCCACGCAGCACCCTCTTGGCGTCATTTGTTTTCCACTTGTTTTCTGCGAGGGATGTCTGGGGTTCTCGGCTCTTCTATTCGCGTCAATGTCAATGTGTTTGTTTTTTGTTTGTTTTGCGATGAGTGTGTGAAATAACGGCAAATGTTTATAGGTTTCTATGTAACTTACACATTTAATAATTCAGGTACTTTATAAAAAATGCCCTAATAAATACACATGTCTCAATATTAGCTTAAGGGGCAACAAAAAATGGTTATATTTTGGACTTGATAAAGTAAATCAATTAAAAACAGAGGTAAATAATACCTTTTAAACAGCAGTCTTTAATCAATGATGATCATTGTAAACAATAAAAATTACATGTTGATGGCAAACACAAGCTGAACAATAATAACAATAAGAAGAGACAGGCAGACTACAATTACGAATTTTCAATTGTGATTTTTCATTGCCATTGAAATTGTCGCACAGTATGCCCTACCATAAGATCCGGCCACGTGTTTCTGTCCAGTACTTTGAAATAAATAAATTAAGGAAAAACTGGAGAACAAACACAAGTCAGTCCACCCATAGCAAACAAAAACAATTCATTTTCAATTGGAAAACCCATTCACTGATCGGTTGTTTTCCGCTTGTTACCGGTTTAAAGTAGCTCAAAAATGATGAGCGCACACGCAAATCGAGTGGAATTGAAAATTTAGTGGGTGCATCAGCATACAGTGCGTTTCATTCAATAAAGTCTACAAACTGCAGACATTTTTAGAACTACTAGATGGTAGTTTAACATTTTAATTTATATGAATTATATAAAAATATATGTAGCTTACAATGATTTAAAACAATTCATGTTAGATTTGCATTTCTCTAAGTAATAAAGTGAATGCTGTATAAAAAACTGTCCTTAAACAAAAATGTACTATTTAAAATTGGCTATACTTATTAAAAAATTCACAATTTTATCACATTGAGGTCTGGTATACAAATTAAATATACATTTGTTGACTCGAAAGTTTGTTTTGTGGAAATATCAGGGTCATTTTATTGTGTATTTTATTTATTTATTTCGTATATTCTCCCTAAACAATTGCGCACTGTTCTTTTGATAACTGAATTCCGGCCGTTTTGACCGGTTTGATTTGATTGTTAATGGAAACTATTTTAAAACCAATTTCGGCTCAAAGAGGTTTTAATGGTCAGACGCATCGGTTGTGCTTAGGATCTATGTATAATTTGTTAGTAAAGCTTAGTAATATGTTGTTTAAAAAAGTCCCGTTTATTTTTTTGCAGACATGGTGAATAATTTTCTATGGTGGAAACAACTTTGCTACCCCAAACGTCAGGTAAGTTCGGCTCCACTATTTAAGAGTTCAATGTTCGATTTCACAGTGGTGTAACAGGATAATGTTTTATGCCTTATTTTGTATAACAACTCCAACATTTTCAGTTTGCCAACTCGACAATTTTTAACTCCTACTCAACATAACAAGAAACTTATTAGTAATAACAACACACAACAACACTATTATCCACTTACTCAACAACATCAACAACAACTGTCGTTTAATTCCAACAATTGCTAAGGGAGAGTCATCCGAGGATTAAATGAATGCAACTGGAGTTGATGTTGAGCCTGTAAACGACAGCAGCAACAACAACAGCAAGGATTCGTCAGGGCGAGGAGAACTTTTTTAATTTACGAGTCTAGTTTTTGTGTGTGTTTGTTTAGTCCGCGATTAATTGTACATTTTTTATTTAATTATTGTATACTTTCGGGCAGAGCTGGTCCTCAGCTTTTGAAGTGGGATAGAGGGAGAGGAGATTGCATTATTCAGGGAAATTATTAATTAAGTCAACCAGGCTTCTTCGCACCTTGCGAGTTCCAAACGGCGAGTTGTTGCCCAATTTTCATTATGAAAATAACGACAATGAAGTTTAAGCGCAAATATGGCTGTTTAGAGAATATTTGAAAGGAATTTCTCAATTATTAACCAATTAAGATTTTTTGTTTCGACCCTCATTTGTTACTCGTAGTCTTGTATTTTATAAGTTTTGAACGATTGTTTTGCACAATTTAAGTCACTCACAAACCACATCACAGTTAAATTCGCAAATCCCCCTAACATTTTTGAGTTTTGGTTTTAAAAGGAGAAAAGGAAAAGGTAGGGAAGGTAATCAGTATTCAGTTAGAGTTGGAGAGTTTAGAGGCTTGGACAGGAGGCAAAGAAGAGATAGAGAGAGTTTGAATTACATTTAATTAACACCAAACAACACAACAACACCGCAAACGTCAACATGGAGAGCTTCTCGCCGGATTTATTATGGATGGTGGTCATTGGCTTTATGATTGCCTTTATTCTGGCCTTTGGAATCGGTGCCAACGATGTGGCCAACTCTTTTGGCACTAGTGTAGGCTCTGGGGTTCTTACCATCCGTCAGGCCTGCGTTTTGGCCACCATATGCGAGATATCGGGTGCAGTTTTGATTGGTAAGTCCATGTCTTTATTATTTTTATATATATTTTTATTTAAACTTGTATTTTTTTCCTTGTAAGTTTACTAATTTCTTCATCTCTTTGCAGGCTACAAGGTGTCGGACACCATGCGCAAAGGAATCCTGGAAGTGGGCTTGTACGAGGGCGCCGAGGAAGTGCTAATGCTGGGCTGCGTTTCTGCTTTAGCCAGCAGCGCCGTTTGGCTGCTGGTGGCTACCTTCTTGAAGCTGCCCATCTCGGGTACACACAGCATTGTAGGCTCCACCATCGGCTTCTCGCTGGTGGCTCGTGGCGTCCAGGGTCTGAAATGGTCCACACTGGGCACCATCGTCGGCTCGTGGTTCATTTCGCCCGTGATGAGCGGTATTGTGAGCATCGTTTTGTTCCTGGCCATAAGACGCTTTATCCTGCGTGCTCAGGAGCCACTGAAGGCGGGTTTCCGCTCGTTGCCCATCTTCTACGGCGTGACATTCTTCATCAATGTTATCAGCGTGGTGTTAGATGGACCCAAGCTCCTTTACATGGACAACATCCCTACTTGGATAGCGGTGGGTGTCAGCCTGGGTCTTTCCTTGCTGGTGGCTTTGCTCACGCAGCTTGTGGTTGTGCCGCTCCAGCGCCGTAAGATCGCCAAACGATTGCGCGCCGAGAATCCTGTCAAGTTTAACTTCGAGGACTCTGTCGGTAAGTTGATTAAGATATTAATGGATATATTTAGTAGGAAATCTTAGAGATCGGAAGTCAGCTTTCCAACTTTTATTGTTGCTAAAAGCTGTACTGCTAGACAATGGTAAGATGATGTCGATCTTTGTTTTCACAGCCTGTTTAAATTTAGATATTAAATGGTAAATAGCTAGTAAGCAAACACGAGCACAAGAGGTTTGCTTAGAACAAACAAGTGGGAGACATCTCCTAAACAGAACGATTTCGACTATAAATACTCTGGGCTGTCTTAGAAAAGTTATATTGTGTCAAAGACTCACTCTAAAATGCGATTCAGGCTAGCTTTTCTCCTCGGCTTTGTCGCCTTTGTGGCGACTGTCTCGGCAGCCTCAACTCCTGCCTCGCCGACATCGCCAACCTCACCAACTTCTCCGACCACCCCCACCAGCCCATCGGCTCCAGCATCACCCGCCACCCCGGCCCCGACTACTAGTGCAGCCACCACTGCCGCACCAGCCGCCGCAGCAGCCACCACGGAGGCTGCTACTACCACCGTAGCTACAGTTACGACCACAAAGGCATCTGGCAAAAAGAAACACAAAATTCACACTGTCAGAAGGATCAACAAATCTCCCGTTGTTAGAGTTCATCGTAGAGGTGGAAGAAGACGCAATGGTCGAAACAGCTCCACTCGCAGAAGCACCACTCGTAGAAGCTCTACGCGCAACAGCCGCAGGAGATCCAACCTAAACTAACTAGGCCAACGGAATTTGTACTCTAACGAAACAACAGATTTGTTGAAAGTTTAAGCCACACCTTATATGTAATATTATCTTTTGTTTGAAAATATTATCTGCAAATATTAATTGGTACCATTAACATTCTTAGTTTTTTGTATCCGCATCCCTAGAGTACTTGGGACTTTAAAAATTTCATATATATATTACTGATCACTAGGAGGTGTAGCCTTGTATTTGAACAATAAGGAAACCTATCTCGAAAATTGTTTATTATTATTTACATATATCCAAAAAAGCACCAAACAAATTTGAGCTCCTATCGATTTTATCGCAGCTCTACAACTAAAGGATATCTGTTATGATATATCGATATATATAGATCGAAAAACTCATAAAATTTGATATGATATCGAAACTTAAGATGCATGTAAATACATGGCGAAAAAATTAAAATATTTATATTATTAAATATTGTTAAATTCTAAAAAATTGTTTTTTCAGAATCATCACCTTCGGGCAGTCCCAAGAAGCAGCGCCGTCCCCTCTCATTGGTCAGCGAGGGTAAACCCTTGCCAGCCATTGCGGAGATCACCGAGCTGGTCTCGCTTAGCGATAACTCGCCCAAGACCTTTAAGCTGGCCCCCTTCGGCCTGGCGGCCAAGAACAACAATGCGCCCGGCGAGGAGTACAAGATCGATCCGCAGTTGATCAAGAAGGCTGAGGATCTACTGGGCAAGGCTAGCCTGGACAACACCGACCTGACCATCACCAGCCTCAACTTCATCGACGAGCAGCAGCAGCAGCAGCAACACCAGCACCAGCAGAACGGACGCAAGTTGCAGGAGTGCTTTAAGAGGGTGCAATCACCGAAGGAAGAGCCAAAGGTAGAGAGAAGTTATATTAAATATTAATATAAAAAACTAGATAAATAAATAATATAAAATAATAATCTTATTTCCAATTGCAGCACAAGGGTAACGTGGCCGGAATGGATGTGGGAGTTGTTGGAGCTAGTGCCAAGGCCACCAACAACAATCTGCAAGTGGTGGAGAGCGGTGGCAGCCTGGACTTGATGATCAGTTCCACACTATCGCCCAATTCCAGCAAAGTGCCGCTGATCGAGAGCAAAGAGGCCCTGAATGAGCAAGAGGATGAATTCAAGCGAGCGGCAGCTGCGGAAGGACGAAGGACCAGCGGCGGCGAGGAGACCCAGGAGATCTCAATGCTTTTCTCGTTCCTTCAGATCCTCACGGCCACCTTTGGCAGCTTCGCACACGGCGGCAATGATGTGAGCAACGCCATCGGCCCACTTATTGCCCTGTACATGATCTATCGCGAGGGCTCGGTTATGCAGCGGGCGGAAAGTCCCATCTACATTCTGATTTACGGCGGCATTGGCATCTCCGTGGGTCTCTGGCTCTGGGGAAGGCGTGTCATCGAGACCATTGGCAATGACCTCACCAAAATTACCTCATCGACGTAGGTTTTCTTTTGATTTTACATTATACCTTAATTTTTAAATAATTTATTATCTTTACAGTGGCTTCACCATTGAAATTGGAGCCGCCATCACCGTACTGCTGGCCAGCAAAATTGGTTTGCCCATTTCCACCACTCACTGCAAGGTTGGTTCGGTGGTTTTCGTGGGTCATGTGAGTGCTGCGGGTCGCAAGAAGCGTCAGTCGAACGAGCAGGATCTGGAGAAGGAGGCAGCGCAGGCCCATCCAACTGCCGCGGCCATGGAAGATGGCAGTGTTGACTGGCATCTGTTCCGGAATATTGCCTACGCCTGGATTGTGACAGTGCCGGTTACGGCTCTGCTTAGCGCCGGAATGATGTATGTGCTCTGTGCCATCGCTGTGGACGACTTGGGCCAGGCCTAGAGGGCGTGCCATTCAATTATTAATTGTAGTTGCAAAACTAAAAGTAACGTTTCGTAATTGTACAAGTTGGAAAACACAAAGCTTAAGATTAAACACGCAAGAGAAACACACAAGGAAAAGTGAAAAGTCTTAACAAAATTAATAAACTCGCCTAACTATAACATTGTACTTAGGTCATAGAACGTCTCTGAGCCTAACTGATATTATTATTATTTAATGTGTAATGCCGTGATTTGATTTTATAGTTTACCCGTCGAATTTTTTTCGTATCCCAAAGTCACTGATGTTTTTGTAGACCCGGTCCGAACCCACTCAATATATATTTTATAATTGCAATTATATCCATTAATAGAGCAGAGCAAAACACTTGAATAAAATACAAAACTATGTACAACAACCAAGATTGTTTAAATAAACTCAAGTGACTGAAGAGCCCCAGAATGCGACTCGTTCGTACGTTGTAATATGTCCTTGTTTGGTTCAGTTAAATATTATTCCAAAATCCAACTAACAAGGCTCTCCAGTCCGTCTTAAATTTACATTCCATTTGGGAGCCAGTTCGTAAAGTATTTCACTATGTAGATATACGAAAAATAAATACAAAGTTATGACACTCAAACATCTCTTTATTTGCAGAGAATATATAAAAACTGAATCTGCGAAATCGGTTCTTGTATCTATATTGTTTTCAGAAAAGGCGAAATTTCGTAATCAGCGTTGCGGAATTACTACAGTGCCAAGCACAGGTTCTCGGTATGTACTATCCAGATGCCAATTTGACGTTTAGTTAATTAATAACTTAATCCATTTATTGTTAGTTTCCAAAAAGGAGTAAATCCCATAAATGAAAAGCACTGAAAGAGTACAGTATTTATATCTCCCTGCGAACAATACTTCACATCTTGTATATTTTTTTGTTGACTATACAATTTAATACACTTTGCCTAGCAAAATCTAACCAACTTTTATTTTAGCTTGTTCTTGATCTTTGTTTTCACAACCTGAATCAATTTAGATGGCACATGGCAAAGCGAATAAGATAACAAAAAATTGGGGTTTTTCTACAGACAAAACAAGTGTGCAACATCTTCTAAGCCGAAAGATTTTGGCTATGCCAAGTACTCTGGCTTCCGCCATTAAATGGTCCCATTGTCTGGAGACACACAAGGAGCCGGTATACAAAGATTTTGCGGAAATAGTAAGAGAATTTTTTTGCAAAGATAATATTTTATTAAATTATTACTCTGAGCAATTGAGCGAAAAACTAAAAATAAGGGCTTGTGACACCTTGATTATTATTCAAAATATTTCCCAATTCACATATTTCCAAAGTTATAAAATTTATGTTTGGTTAGCTTTTCTTTGTTTTTTTTTTAACATCTAGACCATGTGAATTCTCTTGACTTATAGAGTCAGAAATAATACAAAATAAATCATTCAATATTGCAACTATATTTATATTTTATTTGTAACTAGAACTAAAGAAACGAATAAGGGTTAGAGAATTGCATTGTGTCGTTTAACAAAATCCTTGGAGTCTGTGGGGTTTAAATTGCGTTGGGTCTAGTCCTGGTCTTAGTTTCGGGTGGACTTCCTGCGGCGCTTGCCATCGGTGGTTTTGCGACCACCGAAGTTCCTTCTACGGCGCCTTACAACCTTTGGCCTCGTAATTGTTCTATGTTCCGTGCGCTTATGCTTCTGCGGTGTCTTCTTAGTAGTGGCGGCAGTTGTGGCAGGGGCGGCGGTGGAGGCTGGGGTGGGGGTGGCGGCGGTGGTCGTTGGGTCACTTGTCGGGGCCGTGGTGGGTGTGGCTGTAGGATCTGTCGGACTGGTGGTTGGATCAGTTGGGGTGGTAGGCGAGGCAGGAGCAGGAGCAGCTGGGTCAGTCGGAGCTGAGGCTGCCCAGGCAGAGGCGACGAGGGCCACAAGGCCGAGGAAGAGAGCTAGATGGGAACGCATCTTGGAGTGTGTGTAGCTTGGTGTGTCTCTGACTCTGTTGGGACTACAACGTGTATTTTCTGGAAGAAGCCGGCTTATTTATATCCGAAATTGTGCTGGTTGGAAGATGTTTCTTACTTGTTTGTCCCCTGCAAACAGTACAATTTGTACTTATTTGTGCTTAGTCGCGATTCAAGATGAAATTTAAAACTGGGTTGTTGAAACAGACACATCACATCATCTTCTTGAATAGCATTTATACAATTGGTTCAAATCTTTAGTGGCAGCTTTGTCTATGTTTGATGTGCAAATATTTATTTAAACTCTAGCATGTTGCATAAAAAGTGGAAATAACCCAACATATGAGACGATGGATTAATACAAATTGGCTTTCATATCTTATATCCTTGGGTCCTCACCTTTGGGCAGCACTAAGGAGCTGCATTGCCCATTTTGCAGCACAAGCAAAGGAAGTCTAAGTGATGTGAGAGGTAGAGCAAGTGACAATATTATCCTGCAGGTGGCGGAAAGCTCCTTTTTAATCGACAGGCGTATTTTTGACAACTTTCCTTTGTTGAATGATCTTATACCTCATAATTGTGTGTTGATCTAGGATCTTTGTGTTTACCAATTACAATGTCTTTGAGACTGGTAAGAGACAAGAGTTCTTAGTTGTATTCATTGGAGAAATCTATTGAATCTGGAAAGTCTGGTCTTAATCTATGTTCTTTGCTGTGGTCCTTGAAAGCACTGAGTAAAGTCTCATTAAGATGGCAATTGCTCTCTGCTGACTAAAACCAAGATCAGTCATGAAATGTTCGAATTTTCTCAATGTTAAATTAAGAAACTAAGCCAACAACACAATTGCTTAAGCGTCTCTATTACTAGTCACTTTTTATAAACCCTAAAAGGGTATTATTATTTTAATTACACAATAAAGGAGTAATTTTTCTGTAGAGTATTTATATTCTTAGTCAGCTTTAAAAGTCAAATTTATTTAGCCATGCCCGACTGCAGTCGACTGGCTTGATCTGGGGAACTCATTTCTTGATTTTAAATCAATTTCTTAAGAATAAATAAAGAAGAAATTAATATAACAATTGTTGTCTTGTTTGTAGTTACAAAATTTGTTTTGATATTATTTGATATATACATTATTTAATTGTTCCTTAAGTATCTTAAAAACTAAGCTCTTGGTCTCTTCTGCTTATATTTGTGTAATGTTACTTGTTATTAAAGGTTATGTAGTAAGATCTTGACAGAGTTTGTGCTTAGCAAATGGCCTACTTCTTGGCTGAAACCAAATGGCTAATGAAAGTTAAAAGCTGCTTAAAGCTGGGAGTGGGTTGAGCTTTGAGCGAGGAACCGAGAGGCGGCGTGGCGCATACGTGATGCCACTCGGGGTTAGTTGAGTTTTGAGCTTCGCTGCGTTCGGTTGGACCCGCTGTTCCCGACGATTCCGCGTGATTCTAATACCCGGTTTGGTGCAATTTTAACTCGTAACGCCTGCGCATTCCTCGTACCCACAATCCTACGTTCGGAGTGCTAACTGTTTGGGTTTTTTGACAAAAACATAATCGTAATTGTGAGAAATTTAAAAACTTGTTCAGAGTCGCTCAGCTTTTGGATTTACGCATTTGGATTTTTGCCCCACTTACCACACCGACGGATTAAAAGGTGAGCAGAGAATTACTGAGATCGAAATATCGAAAGGTGAATAATTTAGAGTATAGGAAAATCGGGGCATATCACTTCCGTTCAGCCCTTCCATTTCCGCACATTTCTGGAATGGATTTCCACAAGTACTACAAGTATTACTTAATTTCTTTGCTTAATCCGATTTGCGAGCATTGAACTTTTCATCTTTGGGTATTTTGTGCCGCTGTTGTTGTTGTTGTTGTGATTATTGTTGTTTGTGTTGGTCTTTATTTTTGCACCAACTTCTTGTGGTTTATTGTGCTTTGTTGCTGTTGCGTCTGTTGATTGTTTTTATTTGTTGTTTCTTCTGCGAGCTCCTCGCTCTCCGTCGCCTGTTCTCATTTTATTTAATGAGTTCTCCGGCATTTTTTGCCTTTGTTTTGCATTGTTCCAACTTTGAAGCCCTGTTTGTTCAATAAGTTTAAAACGTTTCAGTCGATTCGAGCGAAAACAAAATTATTAGCAAGTGGTTTTGACTTGTATGGGTATTTCCGTCGTTCAGTGAGGCATTTGGCTTAATGAATGGAATTGTTTAGTTTAAAAAATTCCATTTTAGAATCTATAGTACTACAAAATGATTTATGATTGCCATAGTATTAAGATATGGGATTGATCTTAGAAGCTCCAGTTCATAGGTTTAGAGTTTCTCCTTTGCACTTGGTTTAAAGTTGGCCTAAGCTGTGTTAATAAGTTGCAAAATTGATCTCGTCAGTGCTAATTATATATATTTAAATACCTATATAAAGTTCTTAAATATGAAAGCTTTTCTCCCAATAATGAATATTTTTCTTTCGACCTCAGAACATCATCATTAGTTAGTGTTTAGTTTTTGGCAAATTAATAACCTGTTCAACTCTGGCAAATCCCCGATCGATGTCAAGATTCTATGCCCAGCATGTGCGACCCATTTCCCCTAAAAGAACCACCAGAACCCAAACCAAACTCCAACCCAAATCCGAACCCGATTGCCCTCACGGACAGGTGTTCGATCTGCCGGACAGATCGCCGGGCTCATTATGCGGCCCGGCTAGCGGTACTGCCCTCAAAAGCGATGCCGCCACCTGAAGATAACATGGCGAACCTACTCCAGCAAACAAAAAAATAAAAGAAAACCAAACCCAAACTTACTTGCGAAAGCCACACAGTCAATTCTGTGCAGAACAAAAGCCAAACGATCGAAGCCATTAAGCCAGACTCCAACGGCTCCTACAGCTCCAAGAGTCGAAGTCAAGCCAAAAAGTCATTAAAGACAAAAATCTATTGAAAACGGCAAACAACACGCCTTAAAAAATACTTTGGTGTCGGAGCGACGGGGGCAAATACCTCAACTGTGCGCCTGGGAGTTTCCCAGCTGGCCAGGTGGATGCCATACCATAGAAGCAGCACGTCGTCCCTGGCCACCAATATCCACACTGGCCATGTTAATTACGCGCTTATCAGTTCATTACAAGGCCAGAGTTTTCTCCTCCGTACAACCAGCAATTACCTGACCACACTCCCCACAAGATCCAGTCGGATTCCGATGGCGTTCTAATTTCTTTGCTCTCCTTCGCAGCTATTAATCAAATTCGCACGAGTAGTATCTATCGGATGCCAGGCATCCACAATACATCAGCGAGCTGTAATTACTGGATTCTGGCTTACAGCCAACAGCCTTTGCATATGAGTACATAATGATAACCCTCGGCGTGGCTCACTTTCTCCTTCTCCTCCGGGAGTGGCGGCTGCTGCCTCTCACAATTCGATTTGACAATCTTTATAAAAATTATTGATGATAATATTCAGTTAGCTTGAGAGTTAGTTAGCAATTAAGGAAAATGCCAATGGAGATTGCTTTTCATATTTCCAGCGCAGAAATGGAGCTTTTCCTAAACGAAGAACCAGTTGAAAACTTTGTTCATTAATAATAACGGTCAAGCCGATCAGTTAGAGTTTTCAATTAGACTTTTCCGTATGGTTCATCGTTACTTTAAGATAATTAATTTTAAATCTATGGTTACCAAGCACTTTTTTTCAATCATTTTGTAATTTTCATTCTGTAATAAGAAGCTCCTATACTTTTTGTTTAACAATTTCTTTAACTATTCAAAATATTTCAATTAGATTAGAAATTGATTTGTTAATTTGTTTTTTCCTTTACAAAAAATATTTTAAAGTTTGTAAGAAAAGGTGAAACATATTATCTAAAGCAACAATAAAATATGTTCCCAAAAAATCCAACATTTTTTTGCATAAACCCACCAATTGCATCAGCATAGCCAAAAAAATCAATAGAAATGTCACCCAAAAAGGGAAACCAAATGCACATTTTCCGCTTGCGTAATATCTCCAAGAAGCCAAAGAAAACACAAGCGCATAAAATTAAGATGGATGCGAAATGTCGAAAATGTGAATATGAGACTTTTGAAAAAAAAAAAACGAATGAAACACCCAAATAATGACCACTTTCTAACATGGCCCGGCTGTTTCCTGATGTCCCATGGCTTTCCTAGGATTTCCTTTTTATTTTTGTTTGGTTTTTTGTTTTTTTTTGTTAAGTTTTTGTCTATTTTTTTGTCATGCACATTATCACCCAAAAAACTCACTTGACAGCCGGAGCCAGGCGGCTCGGCCCCCCGTAACCACCGTCCTGCCCTCCGCGTCATTGTCATTGGAGTCGACGACTCCACGCGGCCACGACTGCATTTCCCACTCAAGACAACATTTCATAAAGTTTATTAAACTTTAACCAAATTGTTAAAGCGTCGATTTGCCCCCCTCGCCATTCACTTTTAGTGCCGCAGCAGCAGCAGCAGCAACGGCAGCTGCTGTGGGCGCTCCAAACGAGTCCATCAACTCTGGCCAGGCTCTTAGCTCGCAGCTTGGACCATAACAAACTGCCACATTGGCCGGAGTTGGCTTGGACTGAGATCCGGAGGCAGCTGTAATGGCCAGGGGCCAGGGGAGTCTGTTTTCTTTGAAGTGGCGAGCATTTTCCTCGAACGCCACCACTTGGAGCATTCAGTGCCACTCGCACTTGGCGTGTCGCCGCCCGAGAATCGCAAAATTAATTTTCATTTTGCATAAACTGTCAAAAAGTAAAATCTATTAAGCGATCACTTCCTCTCGGATCCAAACGCAATGGGGAAATGCAAGAAATCAATTCGCTTTTATGCAATGTAAATAATATTGCGGTTTTGGTTTGCAAGTTACATAAAACGCTTAGATTGGGGAGACTTAATAATGTTTAGATAAATTAAATATGACTTTTAAGATTGAATATTATATATCTCTATATTTATCTCTATTTATATCTACATTTATCTGTGTAAAATAAGTCTGGATTTATGTCTATAAACTCAAGTTGATTATACCTTGATTTAGCAAAAAGTCTCTGAAAAAATCTTATAATAGAGATAGGTTTTTTTTTGCTTTTAAATAATTGTTTGAATAAATTTAAAGATGGTTCAAGTTTGAAATAAAAATATTCTGATTCCTCCATTTAAAGTACTCTAAAATATGTATAAAATAAGTGTCTCTTTGTTCACCAATCTATGGAATAACTAATTTCTAATGTGGTTTTAGTTCAGGGAAAGTTTACCCAAGAAAAAAAACTGGCTTAAAGCGAAGGGGCTTTCCATTGGGCTACAATAAAATTAGTTGTTTAATTTCAATGTTTTGGCACTTGCTGTCAACTAATCAGTTGGGCACTTGAAGCCAGCTAAATTGACAGTAAAGAAAGTTAGAAAAGCAAATAATTTAATACTAAAATTGTGTTTTTATGGGCTCTATAAAAGAAACTTTGTTCTCGTTGGAATTCCAAGACTCTTGTTTTTTTTAAGTACCCAACAACTTAGACACTTTGTTTCCAGTTGTTTACCCTTCAAGGTCGATCCTTTCACTTGCACTCGGTTAGATCTTCATGAATACCTTTGTAACAAGGCTGCAGGTTAAAAAAAAACATGGGTAAATGTATCTTCCACCTGGGAGCATGACAAGACCATAAAAACAATAACTAAACATGTCAATGCGCATTTGACTTAATTAGGAAATTGTACAAGTGCATGAGCTGAACCTTAAGGCTGCAACGGCACTTGGCATTAACCACATTAACCGCATTTTTCCATCAGTCAGTCAGGTAAGCGGAGCGATATGTCGCTGCTTGCCTCTGGTGGTGCATTTGCATTGAAAGTTGTTTTGGTTTTGGCTGCAATTGGATGTGGAAATGCAAGCTAGGGAATTGTGTTGAGATTTTTTCTTTGCCAGAAGGAATTTCTGAAATTGGGAAGATTAAAATCCGGCTCGAAGGACCAACATAGGACGATCTAAATAATAAAACGTATTTATTGGTTAGTTCTTTGTATGCAATTTTAAAATGTATTCGGTTTACTTGTGACTGAAATCTTTCAGTTATACATTCTACAATCTTAATGAAGCCTAAGTTCCAGTTCACCTCGTACCGAAGTCTCCCGTAAGTCAGTTTCTGATCTCTGTAATTTGATTTTAATTTTCTACATTTATTTATTACCCCATTTGGGGTCTCTCTTGGCGTTCGCTAAACAAGTTTTTCCGTTTCGATTGTGAAATCGAAAGCATTTGCCATATTCGCTGTGGAAAGAAAAGAATGCGGCAATAATCGCCAGCAGCCAATAAACATAATTGCCCGAGTGTTTCGCCAATCAGTTCGAGGGCGTGTCTTGGTATTTTCCTGGATTTCCTTTTTGCTGCGATTTATTTCATAGAAAATCAATTCAATGCGCGAACGGTTCAGCGGGACGTTCATTAAAAAATGCCAAAGCGTCTGGGACAATTGGAAATTGCGAATACGCCCTGTTGTCCACCATTTGATTATGGAAATGCCATTTTCGTTCGTTTCCTCGATCGAATATTGTGTGTTTTTTTTTTTCTTTATCCGACAACACGCGAAATAATAACACGCATCTCGTTCCACAAATTCAATAGTATCTGATCGCCAAGTGGAACAAGTTTTGGCTTGATCC